ATTGTTTCCCATCGATTGAATATTTACCAGCGGCTGTTGGGCCAAGCCAAGACTGCTTTCATCTCCCAATCAAGCCTATGGATCGAACACTTGATATTCGGCCTGCTTCATCATTTGAAGGATACTAGGTCAAAAGCAATCGCACTTGGGTTCCAGGTGGCCACAGAAGCCGGTCCCAATCCTACATTATCGAAAAACATCCGGGATCTCTTCGACCGGCCATTAGAGCACGATCGAAAGCTTGTATCAGAGGTTCGTGAACGCATGACTCGAATGATGGCAACGGTGGATAGTGGTGAGCATGTTCCTCAGATTTGGAGCATCATTATCCTTCTTCTCCGGAGCAAAAGATGGAAATTAGAGGATTGGGGTCATTTTAAGGAATGGGTTCTCGTACTCCAAAAATGCTTCAATTGCAGCGAGCCAGTGATCAAATCCCAGGCTATCGTTGGTTGGAATCAATTTGTCTTTGCCGTCAGCCCCAACGAATCGACGAGCCGATATATTTTGAAAATGCTGGGCAAACCGGTACTCACTCAATTCGACCGCAAGAAGACTGACAAATCGGGATCTCCGCCCACTCAAGTTGCTCTGACCAGCTACTACAATCTGCTATACTACACTTTTCGCCCTTCGGCACCTTATCAGCATCTAGATATCATATGGGAGGAATACGTGGTCGTTCCGTCTTCAGGCATTTTCTCATCAGTCCCAGTTCTCAGCGACTGTCTTTCGCGCATATTGACAAACCTGTTGTGGAGCACGCAGGCTAAGATATGGATAGAGAATCGAATCAATGATACTACCAAAATGGAAGCAGAGGAACTTCCTGCAGCCGACAGCAGATGGGTTCGATCAAGAATTACCTCAATTCTCAAGGTTTTTGAGAATGTGTTCAAAGCCTCGGTTTGGATCGATGATGCAGTTGGCCAATCTCACGTGGCATTGGCCTGGAACAGTCTGTCTAGTGCTCTATCACTTGCGTCCAGCAAAGAGATCACCCCTTCAGGGGAATCGATGCAAGCTGTTGCTAGCGTTTGGAGTCTACTACATCGCCTTTGGATTGCAGGGCCGCCCTCATTGAATGCCGAAACCACAGATATTTTCTTTGAACGATTCAGATTCTTGTCTATGACAATGATTGTTTCTATTGGGAGCATTCCGTTTACTGAAAAGCTTCTCTTGAGAAACGCGGACGAACCCGAGAACATTTCCACACATTCACCTCCAAATACGACCCAAGAAAGTGCTATTCTCCATCTCCTTCGAATAATCAGCAGCGCTGCAGGGACAATAGCGCCCAGCCAATTTTACACACACCTTGTCTTAGGTAACATTGAAGCAGCATGCAACGGGAGATTCTCCCGAGGATCTCGCCTCGAACTCCTCCAACAGTGTGCAGAATTGAGCACTCTGAAGACCAGTGCTATCCCCCGTGCGGCTCAGTTGTCAGAGGTGGTTTGGAATGCCACCGCTCAGGCGGCCGCAGATGCTTTGCAGTCGTTCCCTATGGAATCCGCCCGTGGGCGCGACGGCTCTGTATCTCGTGACTACGAAAATGTCATCAAGATTCTCTCGTTCGGACTTGCGTTCCCGTCAGCCTTTCAAGAGTGGTCTCATTTGCTTGAGACCTTTGTTCGCGTGGTTCGAACAGAGAAAGGCAACCAAGCGGTTGCCACTATGATTGTGGATCCCATGGCCGAACGCCTCATGAATCTTTCCGCTAGAGATACCTACCTACCCTCAACTTCACTGCTTGGCCATTCCTTGTCCATCCCTTTCATGCAAGGAACCGGGCTAGGGATTGATCGCAGCGGCATCCAGGCAGCTGGGCATGCCATCTTTCCTCATAAACTCCTCGCGTCAATTGCCCAGACATTACATGGTGCACACGACAATTTCAACGCATCACAATCCCACGGACTTGCGGACTTCATAGAGGCATTGACTTCTTTTCTTGGAGCCGGTGTCCCACAGTTCCAATCCCAAATTCTTCAATGTCTCCAGCCATCACTTGGTCTTTGGTTGAAGGATGAATCTCACAAAATCCATGTTGACCACGGCGTTGACAGCAGAATCTTGACAGCTTGCCGTGCGCTCTCGTCAGCCACTATCAATATTCTGCAAACATCGGTTTCCCATGATCTACCTTCTTTGAAAATCTTTGAGCCTATTCTTTGCGCCGGTTTAGAGTCTTCCCACGTTTCAACAGCTAAAAGATATGTCGAACTTTGGGGCTTGACCTTTGGTTCACAGTCATTTGTCATCCCAGCCACCATTTTGGAGGCTGTACAAACTGCTGAGTCCAGGGTGACTGCAACCTTGCCTCTGCAAGACGGTGACCAGGATACCGAGATGTTACCTCCGCCTCCTCCTGAAGACATAATGGATCAGTCACTGCATCAGCCGTCTCAGGACACTCAGCTTTCGTCCCCCGTCATACGAACCGAAGACTCATCGGTGGTCTTGAAGCCAACTGAACAGTTCCATGAACCCCAGTTACCGAGTAACCTTCAGAAGCCCATGGATTCGCAAATTGTTGATGGCATTTCAGTATCTCTCAGGCGCAAAAGTCATCGTGAAATGTTTTCGATGATTGAATCCATTCAATCCTCCTCGCCAGCCAGTACTCCACGCAAATTAGGCTTCGATACCCCTCCCCATCTGCGCAAACTACACGGAGAATCGCTTACCGAACTTCCTCTAACGCCTACTCTTGCCCCTACTGAGAATGAAGAAGGATTCATCGGCTCGTCTCCTACCCCTGGGACCAGAGACCCGACACCTGCTATGAACTCCGACGCACTCATATCGAGCCATCTGCCTGCGGATTTGAGTAGGGACCCCCCATCATCTCCTCCCGAGATGCAATCTCGGAGCCCAAGCCCTAGGAAGAGTCGCTCGAAAAGCGCACGGCGAAGGGCTGCAAAAGCACGAAAGGCTCTCATTAGTACCTCTGGTAAACAGTCAACCGTCAACAGCCCGGCTACTTCCCGTCTCGCGACGGAGAACACAGACACACCTATGAGTGATGCCCATGACTATGATAACGAAAACGCCGACGATACACCTCGAGCGAACGGAAGAACTCCTAACCGGCGACTCCGATCTGCACTAGGCAAAGATTCAGATACTGCAGAATTTTCTCCTGTGCCATTGCTTGACTCTGATAAGACACCTTTGCAACAACCCAGTCGCAGGAGTAAATCAAGCTCGAGCTCCAAGAAGAAACGAAAGCAAGCTCAGTCTACGCCTGCCGATGATCAACCCCAGCAAGCCACGGACGTGCCTTCTGACATCCTTCCTGATAGTTTTATGGACTCTAGTGAGGAGACAGAGACACAAATTGCATCCCAGCTTGGACAGGACTTGGAACTAGCAGTGGATATGGACGATAGAGATCATCTGGAGCAACCAAAACTTCCCGATGAGCCATCCATAAAGAAGAGAAAGCGGGATCAAGAGGAATCTCCTTCATCTGTGAGAACCGACAGGCGCCGGTCGACAAGGCTATCCACGGTTAAAGACGTGGCCAGCGTCGAGTCATTGCAGCCCGATGCTTCACCCTCGCAGAATGCCATGTCTCGGCCGGTCTCTCCGGCTAAATCATTGTCGCCAACTGCGACTCGCCGATCCACCCGCAGTTCACAACGAAAAGATGATGACAATTTCATTGCGGACTCAGTTCCTCCAACGCAAGACTCCGTTGCGCAGGAGCCAACACAAGATGGGGAGACTCCGCGGCCCTCCAAAAGGTCTCGCAAATCCATTCGTCTTGAGGAGCAGTCTGTTTCTACCGCCATCGATAGCACTCCCCAAAGCATCCCTCGCGATACCCGCTCCCGCAAAACGAGGTCTCAGCAACATGCATTTGATGTATCTCAACCTCAACCTTCAAGCATTCCATCCGAGGAACATGGCGATATTGACCACTTGCCACCTCACGTTGACCTGGACATGGTCCCCGAGAGCCTCACTACAAAAGATCAAGCGGAGCAGAACACCACTCTTGTTTCTACCGAAGAGGCAACTGCTACCCAAGTCTCTGAAACGGAGCAGGCTATTGAGCCTGTGGTAAAACCAGACATCGACATTGATATCGACATGGATGCAGTACAACAACCAGATGAAATAGTCGAGCAAACTACAAGTGTTGCCACCGCGGGTACTCAAACCCAAGAAACACCCCCCGAATCCCAGCCGGACATCAACGAACAAGGCATTGCCCAATCCTTGAAGAACCTCTTGGGTGAAATGAAGACGACGACTTTGTCCCCGAGCGCTTTCCGCGAGGTCGATGATTATCTCTTCAAGCTCCGTTGCGAAGCACAAAATGCATCAACGCGACACAATACTTCAGCATAGCGAAATGGCGTTTACAGCGAAACCTGTTGGATATGATTTTTTTATATTGGGCCCCTCTCATCATTATTCCCCACCTGCATTCTATATGTCTTCATAACTTGAAGCACAGTGCCTACTTTATTGCTTGGGATGCTTGGTCCCAAACCTTTTTTCTTTCTTGTACGTTACGTTACGTTTTTCGCGCTCTAGGGTTTCTGCGTGTAATAGGATCCAAACATTGAACATTATGATCTTCAGAACAAGGTTGCTATGACTTGCTTACTTCCATACGCTTCCCGTCGGCCATCTGCCGTTGCCACCATTATAACCATATTGACCAGTTGGAGTTTCACCCGAAGTGGCTCATGTACAGACTACCTGAATGTCATGATGACGCAGACCGCCACTCCTTCCTAAATAGTAATCAAACGAGGTTCAATCTAGGAAGTCGTGATCGATTTGGTAGCGCAGATTCCATTTAACTTCCATGAGTATCAATTCTATGTACATATTGGCTCGTACTTGTCCAAACAACAGCCACCCCAGGCACCCAGTATGTGATGCAAGCCAGCCCAGCAGCCGGCATGTCAGGCACACAGGGCACGCACTCCCCGCATCCCAAGCCAGTGGACCCCCATCTCAGTGACCCAGTCAACATGCTTCCATCCGACCTAACACCCGACTCGAAAAGTCGAATCGCCCTGCGTGGTGTGGGTGGCACGGATGTACTCGTTCCCTACCTAAGTATCGGCGCATGGTCATGGGGCGACAAAGCAACCTTTAACTACAACCCAACACGAGACCTACCGCACATCCACGCAGCATGGGCGAAGCTCAAGTCTGTTGGGTTGACTTTCATGGACACAGCGCAGTCCTACGGCGACGGCGAGAGCGAGCGGATCTGCGGAACCCTGTTTCGGGACATGCCTCGCGACTCTTTCGTGGTACAGACCAAGTGGCTACCAACCCCTGGTATGATCAACACAATCATGCAGGCTGGCGGGCTGGCGGGCCCAAGTCTAAACTTAAAGATTCACTCCTCCCTCTTAACCTGGAATATGTCGACATCTATCTAGTCCATGGGCCTATCCATCCTAGCACGATATCCACTGTCGCGAAGGGCATGGCTGACTGTGTTGAATCTGGTATGGCACGCGCAGTTGGAGTGGCTAATTTTGATACAAAGGAGATGATCAAGATGGCCGATGAGCTGGCCAAGCATGACGTTCCGCTCTCTGTCTGCCAATGCGAGTACTCCATCGTCCGCCGCTTGTCTGAAGTCAGCGGCATGATTCGAGAATGCAAGAAGCGCAGTATCTGCTTCCAGGGGTTTACCTCGCTGGCTGAGGGCCGTTTTTCTAATAAATATTCGCGCTTCAATGAGCCCCAGCGCAAGCGGCGCTTCAGCAGTTATCCCATGAATATGCTGGAACCTACTATCAATATCTTGAAGCGTATTGCCGAAGAGCGGCGTGTGTCTGTTCCTGCTGTCGCGCTAAATTACTCTATCAATAAGAGCGTTCTACCACTAGTTAGCGTGCGCGATACTAGTCAAGCGGAGCAGGATATGCAAGCGCTTGGATGGCGGCTGACAAAAAATGAGATGAAACGGATTGAAGGAGTCAGTCTACAGGGTAGCAGATCCTCATTTATGCAGCATGGGTAGGTCATGATAGATAGATGACAAAAGTGGACGGTATGAAATGAGGACCTGTGAGTTTCCTTGATTAACTTTACCTCTTGTCGAGGTTCTCCTCTGAATTGGCTTTGGCAATGCCTAGACCAAAGAGCTTTGAGCCGTAAGCCAAGAATACAGAGCAGAATATGACTCGCGTCCTCGCTCAACCCACTATAGCTATAAGCTCGAACCGTGATAGTACATGTCGCAATCAGCGCCATGCAATTGCGCAACTCCCCGCCAAGGACCGCGCCCTTGGCATCTGAAGGGACTTCGACTGTTTCCTAGATATTCCAGCTCGTTCGGCCATATTCCGAGCCCTGCATCCGCTCTCTGTGACCATCAGATGCTTACATGTGACCTCACATGACAGAGCCAAGCTGGCTAATCTTTGCCCGTGGTATTAATCCCGCCAACAATACTGCGACATGGCAGACCACCACCGCACTGGGATCCTCCTAAGACTCTTGGCGTGACTCCCCGATCGCACCACCCGCAAATATATGGATCCAGGCTGATATTTGTCTCCTCGAGCCGCTTGGCATGGGTCCGATGCGATGGGAGCAGCAGGATGAGATGGGTGGCAAGCCCTTGGCTCCACTCGGAAGTCATACGAAAGCGTCTCTGATCTGCTACGGAGGTTTCTAGGAGACTTTGTTACTGTTAGCCTTTCCTTTGATCTCTTACCTCTGGCGGAACTACGTTGTTCTCGCATGAAGTTACAAAGGTCTCAACTGCTTGAAATCTCCATCATTTGATCGATACCATCATGGTACTCGCCCAGTATTTCAAGAAGGCCGTGGCCTGGATCGCTCCTCCTCCGAAGAAATCGGAAGATGGACGTGATCAATGGCCCTCTCGAGCAGCCTTCCTGCTGGCGGCAATGGGAGGCTGCGCCGGCCAGGGAAATCTACTTCGATACCCCTCGGTGGTCTACAACAACTATGGACTACAATGGTTTATCCCCTACCTATTGGCCGTATTCGCCATCGCCATTCCGGCCCTTATTCTCGAGATTGCGATTGGACAAGCCTATCGCGGCGGGACGGTGATCGCGTTCAATAATGTCAACCATCGGTTGAAAGGCGTTGGCATGGGTCCAATCTTGATCAGTTTTGTCGTCGTGCAATACTTCACGGTCAACTTGGCATGGATCATGAACTATTTCCGCAATTCCTTCCGGAGCCCACTGCCGTGGGAGGGCAGGATTGAGGAATTCTACATGGGCGATGTCGTCGCTAATATTGATCCGGTCGTGGGCAATCTCACTAATGGCAATGGTGCCGTTGCCCACTATACCGTGTACCCCGGTGTTGCCTTGATCGGAGAGACGGTCGGCTGGAGTGCCTTTATCTGGTTTCTCATATGGATTTCCATCTTCCGTGGAGTGGGCCTCACAGGCCGTGTCGTCTATTGGACGATGGGTCTGCCGATTGTCACCACCATTATAATCGTAGGTCGCTCTTGTTCACTGGAAAATGCGGGCGAGGGTATCCGACTCTTATGGGCGACATGGAGAAGCGACCAACTAGCCTCGGGAACTGTCTGGCAAACCGCTGTCGGACAGGTCTTCTTTTCCACGGGCATTGGTTTCGGTTATTTCACTTCCTATGCTTCTTACAACTCCAAACACTCCAATGCTGTCATGGACGCAGTTCTCATCTGTGGAAGCAACGTCCTGTTTGAGAACTTTGCTGCCTTTGCCGTGTTCGGTGTGGTAGGTTACCTCCGACGTTGGCCACAGGATGGCGAGAGGTTGGGTGCATTCGTGGTCGGTTTCCTAACGCTCCCCGAGGCTGTGCTTCACATGCCTGGTGCAAATTGGTGGGCTATTCTCTTATTCTTTACCTTGGTGGTTCTCGGGTTTAGCTCGGCATTTGTGATGCTCGACGCGGTGGCTACGTTGGCGGTGGATTCCGGTGTGAAGATGTCACGGCCGATGATTGTGACTGGCCTCACAATAATGTCATTCCTTATGTGTTTGCCATACTGCACCCAGTTTGGATTCTACCTTCTTGATGGAATCGACCGATGGATTAACAATGTGGCCTTGATCTTTGTTGTGTGGTCTGAACTCGTTGGTGCAACCACAGTGTATCGCTGGCACGACGTAGTCGGCCAGACAGGGCTGCCTGCTTTTGTTGTGTACAATTTTGGATACTTTGGTGGCCAGATTGTCGGAGTTAGCGTCGCACACGGTATCTCGAATCCGTCAGCTGGCGCCGGCGCCGGGTTTGGGTTGTATATCGTCTGCTCGATTATTTCCGTCCTCATCGCCACAACCCCGGATATCAAAGCCGCCAGCTTCTGGGGGAGGAGCCCTCTTCTCAGTCGATTTTGGTATATAGCATTCTACTCTGTATGTCTCCCCCGTTGCTAACAAATTTCACTGAAATAAACCAACACACGCAGGGTAATCAATTAAGGCGCGACCTGAACGGCGTCGTCGGCGGCAATGGAAACTGGAACATCCCTCGTTTCTGGCCCATTCTACTCCGGTACGTCAGCGCGCCTATTCTAGCCATTGTGTTCAGCTTCGCGTATCCTGAATTCTATACCCTGCGATACGACCCAATGATGATCGCCGGTTTTATTTTGGCGCACTTTTGTTTGCTCTTGATTCTGCTCGGTGTGGTGTTCCCACGATACTACGACATTTTCATTCCATCCCACCGGAGAGCAGAGGGTACTGAAGTGACGACCGCCAATCAACCCAAAGAACAGGACTCTGAATCTGGCATGCCAGAGTCGATTTTGAGCCATAAGAGCTCTGATGGGATAGATACTGGACCTTCTACGGCGGTACCAAAGCTATAGACTGTATGCTTTTGTCGATTTAGGGAAGATGAGCTGGTTGTAAAGTGGTTTTACAATTTTAGACAAGCCAGTTGGCACACCCACTCCATCTCTAGCAAACCCTCAAATTCGATCTATTTTTGAAAGATTGAGTGCTCACCGGTGGTTTAGCCCTTGTTGTGTTTATAGAATTTGTAAAAACCAGCGTTGGTAACTTGCCGTGTTTTGTGTTAGAAAAATCAGATGTGCTCATGTGACCTTTCGTGTGGAGTTGCTATTAAGGGATACCTAATCTTTACAATGGATGAGCACTTGTGCCAATGGTGATATTAGACTACCATACAGAACAGAAGCCGGGATGAGTGATACATAGTTAATTCATAGATACTCAGGTGCATGAAGCAGAGAATGAGAAGCCGACCAATCTAGCTCTGTAAGTTGCAGGTAGTTCTTGAGCCCAGTCACAGGCGGTTGAACACTTAAAGGAAACGTATTCACTCGGGTGCCCCTTTGACGTTCTTCTTTCTCTCCTGCTGCTGCCCGTCTGGATTTTCCTTGTATCCCTTCTGATGTCTATTGCGGCTATCTTCACATGTGAAGGTAGACTCAGAATAGGGACACTTGAACTGGGATAGATCAAACCCACTGGCATTGTCTCGAGGTGCTCAGTGTATTGGTGGTTCCCTTCGCAGTGAGGGTACTTGAAGTCAGGCTTCGCAAAGTTTGCGGTACAGGCATCATGCTGTTCCCGTCCAATCTTCCCAATGGCTGCCTTGAACTTTGTATACTCAATTCCATGATTGATCTTATAGTGGGCTCGTAAGCCCACTGGTTGACGGTTACGAGTTACTACACAGCAACCCGGGTATCTGCAGTAGAGCTTCCCTCTGAAAATGATAGGGGAGTGAAGGTCAAGCCGGGGGAGCTGAGGAGCCCAGCTCTATGAGCTGGAGGTATTTTTTCAGCCCAGTCACAGGTGGTTGGGCACCTAAAGAAAAATTGTTAACCCGGGTACCCTTCTTGACATTCTTCTTCCGTACCTGTGGTTTACTGTCTGGGTTCTCCCTACACCCCTTCTCGTGTTTACTCCGGCTATCTTCACGTGTGAAAGTCGACTCGCAATAGGTACACTTGAACTCAGGGGGAGCAAACCCCTCTGGCATCGACATTATGAGCGTTCCCATCTAGGTTAGTTGAGCAACCAAAGGAAATCTTACCGGTGGGGGAAGACAGTATCTCACAAACGCCTATATGTTGTAAACGGTGAGAATCCCGGCGGTGCGACATGCATTGTGCTCAGTCAGTTTGTTGATATCATAATATATCTGTTTGAATTGCTGGTACATTGGAACATTTTAAAACGCAACGCTTTCGTAATTTGTATTTGAATCAAACTATTATTTTCTTCGTTAGTATCCACAAAGTAGATAGTTCACTGACAACTCAACCCTGGTTTGCGCTGATCTTTTGGATAGAAATGGGCGAAGCTGAGTCGGGTGAAATTTGCTCTCAAGTGATTATCATTATAGTTCAGCGCCGATAGTGTAGTGGTTAACACGCCGCTTTCCCATGGGAAAGTCTTGACTTCCCGTCTTGGCTTTCGGACATAAAGCGGCAGCCCGGGTTCGAACCCCGGTCGGCGCATTTACGTGTATTTTTTTTTGTTCTGCGTTCAAATTTTTTTTTTCTTAAAGAAAAGAAGATTTGTGTGTAGAATGTCGAGTTGTATGTAGGTAGGTAGGTAGATAGATATATGGCTTTCAGATAAGTTATGGCTTCTTCTTTGATGCCTTTTGTAGGGGTGAAGCTCGACCTGTTGCCCCTTTATGGGGGTGAGGGAGTTTAGAAAAGTGAGTATATATATAATGTGACGTTTTTTTACTTGCTAAAAAAAAGTGATGTGGCTTTTATACAGCTTTTGAGTTGGTCTTTTGATACTCTTCTGAGATAGTCTTTTAAGATATCTTTTAGTAGACCTTTTAAGATGGTCTTTGATGGTCTTTGGGGCTCTCTTTTGGGAGTCTTTTGAGATGGTCTTTTGAGATGGTCTTTTGAGATGGTCTTTTGAGATAGCTTAAGATAGTGCTTTGAGATATCTTTTAAGATATCTTTTAAGATGTCTTTTGAGATAGTCTTTTGAGATGACTTTTAAGATGACTTTTAAGATGACTTTTGAGATGACTTGAGAAGTCCTTCGAGATGGTCTTTTGAGGTATGAAAGAGCATAAGCCGGAGAGAAGACGCTATGTCCTTACTTTGCTGTGTTAGCGTCCAATCCCTGGATAGCAATTGTCTGTGTCCATTGCTCATCGGTGGGCGCATCCCAGCTCTCAGCTGTGGCTAACATCCTGGACTAGTAACTAGTCTTCAGTCTTCAACTGAGCTTGACTCCGCATAACGGGGTTGGAACCCGAATAGGATTTGAGCAGGGCTATGCCCGCGTGTGTCCATGGTCCGGGGAAAGATCATGGAACTCGGAGAAACCATCGACACCTTCCAGCTGCAAAGAGACAAATGACACTCGGAATCGGCTAGACTAAAGCTCCGCGAATGCAGCTCGTTCATTGCTCAATACAACGATTTAAAAAAAAACAAAAAACAAAGCAACTTTGATGACACACGTCACGGCCCTTGCGAAGGAGATCCACGCAAGACCCATGCAGTTTACAAAAGACACATTCAACGAGCTCCTCCGCCACTTCGCAGCAAGCTACATGCCTGAAAAAGCTGCAGAAACGGCCGTTTCAGCTGAACAAGCTGAACCTGCCCAACCTACCCAAGGGAAAGACACCTAAAGCCACAACGAACAGGCTGTACCGGAGGACGCCGAAGTGAAAATTCAAGGATGGAAGGCTTTATGTTATTTTTTACTTTATCATTCGTTTAATTGTCCCCAAGTTGGATTTCGGGACGAGATCTTTCGCGGGTGGCATACTGTTGCAGCGGGCTTGGTGGTCATGTAACCAAGCCCCGCCCCGCATAGCTAGCCAGCCTTAGGTAGATAATCAACCATCTTCCTCCATCCCATCAACTTGTCTTAGTGAGGTTGAGTGTGGTCTATTTCTACTTTCTGGGGGCTATAGGTAAAGAATAATAGTTTGATTCAAATACAAATGACCAAAGCTTTGTGTCTTAGAATATACAAGCAATAAACAGCAATTCAAACAGACATATTATGATATCAACAAGGTGACCGTGCATGCTGCTTTTGGTACATTTCTATATCACATTGTTTCTCAAGCGAGTTGCGTGAGCCTTGCGTTGTCCAGGTGTCCGTTCGAAGCTGTCCGTTTGTGGTCCAGTTCTCGAGGGGTACAGCTTCGACACGATGCATGTCGTTCATGAACTCATTATTGGACCTGTTGATGGGTTCAGTACTCGAGCGCTTGGTGCCGCTGTACTTTTCAGGTGGTGTGGGTGTGTTTTTATTTCCTCGACGAAAGGGTGATTTCCATGAGCGAGGGGAGGTGAATGAAGGATGAGATTGTGAGTTGTTGGAGTCGCACCCGCTACTGCCATTGTTCTGGTTGTCAAGGTTTCCAGGTCGCTGAGCTCGGTTGCTGTTGTACTGGAATGCCTTGACGCCAAACAACTTGCGTAGTAGTGGCCACCAGCACATGAGGTTGGCGACATATATTGCTGTGCTGGCTTCACGGATGTACCAGATTTGGTAGGTGGTTGTGAGCGGGGAGGCAAAATTGAAATATTTGTTGAGGATTGCGGCAATGATAGTGAACAAGCCCAGACTCATAACGCCGATGAGGACGACCTTTCTGCGCCGTTTGAGTTGAGCTTTGATCAGAAGAGGAATCGGGATGGCGAACATGATGGCATCAGAGGAAATATTGAAGACGGCTTGTGTTATCGAGTAGTGCTGGTATGTCGCACATTGCATGTTATCTACCGGCATGGCCCAGTATTGTGAGAATGGCCGGCAGTAAACTGCATAATATGTGACCATTATAACGACAAATCCGATGGCGGTGTAAACGGAAAGGATCTTGATATAGAGATTCGATTTCAGATTCTGCGTCATTCGCCAATAGAGAATCAGCATGCATGTCTTGACGCCCCAGGTTGAGATCAACATGCATTGCTCCAGCCCAATGACGATTTTGCTTCCATAGATCCGATCGCTGACTTGCTTTGGGTCTGCTAGCACCTCGTCGTAGTCCTTCGGGTCCATGAGGTTCGTTGCATAGCGCGCCGATATTTGAATCAGGACTAGGAGTGTGGTATATATTGCCTTTTGAGGAGTTGTCGGGTCAGTCGAAAGAAGAGACTCGATTTCCCGATGAGAACACTTACGAAGGTTGCTGCCATGACATAGTCGTCCACTAGAGAGTTACTCGTTAGCAGAATCCAAAAAGTAGAGACTAGAAGTCTTACAGAACAACCGTTTGTATGATCCATTGGCAATTATACGAGCCACACTTTGCTGCAGTTAGCATTGCTCTAATTCGAGACTTGCATCGCAAACATACATTCTCCCGACATAAATAACAAGACCTATAGACCAGAAGACTATGGCTTCTGTAAAGAGCGCAGTTGGAGTGGGTGACTCGTTCCCCATCTTGACAGATAGAGCGATCTTTAGCCTAAACCGGACCTCAAATTGCCAAACCGCTATAGAACGAGTCCGCCATGTATGAGAAACAGCAATTTATCGGAAGGTTCTGATGAGGAGCATCAGTGACAAGCTTAAATTGTTATCATGGCTCGTTTACCGGCAGCTCAGGTAAATCTATAAATGGTATATTCGGAACAAGCTACTGCGCCGAGGAGAGCGATCATCTCATCTAGTCGGTGAAAGTGGCTGAGGTCCCGGGAATGGAATTTAAAGCTGCCAACCGAGACAGGGCTGTAGCGTCATGCGTCTTGGCCCGTGAGATGTCAGCGCTGGCTGATAAGCAAGGAGGGATGGGGCGCAAGAGCAAGGGACTTCTTTCCTCGAAAAGCCAATCCTGTCGATGACAGTCGGGTTTGGAATGTGAAAGTAGGCATGGAGTACATAATCGACATGGGAGAAGATGTTTCACGCTTCACATTCCTGCTTTGTGTCTTCGAATTTTTCCTTCCGCTGGCCAGACCAAGAGGCCGAGAAAATCAGCTTGTGACACCGACTTTTCCAATAGATGCCCGATGTAGTGCAAAACGACCCAGCTGTGCGCGATATCTCTAACAGGATGCCTTAAGCGAGATTGGTGTAACCCAACATTAACCGCATCCTTGATCGCCATTCGGTGAATATTCTTATTTTGGGCCATAAAGTTTCCCGTATGCACGTTGCCGATAGCTTTGTGATCTTCATGCCTCGAGCACAACAAACTCGTTGATGGGTCATATTCAATAGTGGATACATAAAAGCTGTGTGGGTAGTATTATTGGGGGGTTCGGAACGCTGATCTGCATGGTGAATCAATAGCTCCTGGGCACAGTGATCCGCCATGAAAATAGACTTGCGCGATATGCGAGCTAAAGAAAGGGTTAATAAAAACCGACATGCTACGCTAATCGTGGATGGAAGATCATCCTGATATGAATGTTCAACCTTCTGCGTCTCATCCCTAGAGAACCTTATTCCACATAATCTTCACAATCTCGAGGCAGGTGAAAGCCGAAAAGCCGCTATAGAGACAAAGATATAGGAGCTTGCAACTCATCTCTACCCAGCTGTAACATCTTATATCAATGTGACCACCCAATGTTCTATAGTATTCCTAGAAAGCCAGTACGGCGATATGGTTTACCACGCCCGGATCGGCCAGTTTACCCAGCACTTCGGGGAGTTCCGGCATAGTGAAGAAATACGAGCAAGTAGGATGGCCGCTACTGGTTATTGTTGCCTGAAAATATCGATAAACCTAGATTCTTGATCGAAGGGCCATGTGAACGAAAGTCAGATAATGTGAGCTTTCGGGCGCTTTGTGAAGAAGGGGTCATTTGTTTGACAGGCGAGGAGCCCCCTTGATAGAGGCCTAGCCATTGTTAATAGCCGATGAATTTACGAAAAAAAAGGCTCAATAGGCCGACTGGAGTTGGGACTGCCCGAGAACCAAGCTCCTGTTCCATGGATTCTGATGGTTGTCAGGCTGTGCTATTTTCTGAATATCAAATGTCTACCGTCCACAGCCTCTCGAGATGGGGTAGCCTTGAGGGGATTGTGTAGTCGAGATTTGTAATGGTAACTAGGGCGCTTAAGATGTCCTTTTAGAGAGGGCAATCCAATGATCTTTGTAGATAACCGATCTACCCTAGCTCAACTTGAGCCAATCCACAATCGCATCGAGAAGTCATATTCGACGAATGTACCCGAAGAACTCATAAATGCACATGTACATACTCCGTACGGAGTAGTAGAGACAGTATTGTGCCACATGGCGAGGAGGAATGATGATGCAGTTCTGGCGCGTGATACACTCCACTCCTTGGATGCAATACCAGCCCAATAGCCACGTGAAAAGCCGGAAATTCCAAAATCCGCTGGAGTAGGAATATGATACGTATAACTGCTGTGCCCCCATGCTACATGAAACTGTGGTGGTTTCATAATACAAAAATATACGAAGTGGCCAATCGTGAACTTGTCGGTGTGAGAAATGTTGGAGATTTTGAGATATCTATACGAGGCGAGATATCATACATAATAATAGCCGACCGCCTATGTGGCCTTGCTATCTCTTTTTGGTCTTTTTATTAGTAGTCGTTAATGGAGCGTTTGAACGCTCCTCAACTTGAAACTCATTATCTTTTTTTATGTCCACCAGTAGGTTCTCTTCAACTTTTGGCGACTCGGGCACTGGGTTGAGCGAAGTCGGTCAGTAATGAGGAGTGTCGCGTCAATTACCGGAAGACCAGCTATGACTGTTTAAGCAAACTCACCTGTGAGCCGTTTTACGCTGCGACACCAGAATATGTATATTCGATGAGGTTGAAGTTGGTTGTGATTTGTTCAGTTGATCAGTCGCTTGAAACTATTGAAAAGGGCTGATCTGATGTTGGTTGAACAATGATCCAAGGCTATCTATCGGCTGTCGGTGGCGTCGATGTTTTTATGTTGGTTAGGATATTGTAAAGAAGCTACTCAAATTGGATGAGTTCGATGATTTGGACGGTGTTGCCTCCATAGATGCTGATAGAATGATAGTTCCTATGCGGAATACTAAATCACTTGTTCTATTACATTGATATTTCTCGATGGCGCTGGTTTATATTCAATGATACGTATTTCCCTGCTATTCGACTCGCCAGGGGAATCGAAATATTTGATAAATTTCTTAAAAGCCTCGAGGGCCAACATGTCGCACCAGTCAAAATATATTCTCCGAGAAAAAAACAAATGAGCATATGGGCTGTTGATTCAAGCAGCTATACATATTCCGAATTATATATACATAATGCAAATGATCGATCACGCGAGGCCATGTGGCTATCAAGGGGGATCTCGGTTTCATGCATGCGCAGACCAATTTAATTGTAATGTTGCGCAACAAACCCCTGACAAAGCTAGAATGTAGAATATATTCAACAGGCCAACAAATAAAACTTGCAAAATACACCATTTCCAGGTTTACCCTAACTGCTGGAGGAAATTCGTCCCAAGCTACGCTGTGTGTAGTAAAGCTCCATCGGATCGACGCCCCAGATGCCGCATTCGCCCCGAACCCCCCTTGCTTAGCGATGTATCAACTCAGTTCGATTTGGGAAGGTCGCAAGAGAAACAATTCGTACTGGTCCAATCAAAAAGGATTGTTGTAATACATCTGGACAATGTACTCCTTAGATGCGCGCAGCATTGGCCATTTTCCAACACAATAGTGATACTATTGCCAATAAACACCCCTAACTCCTTATTTCATCCAGGATAAGAAAGAAAACTTGTAGATTTCTTCGGAGAAAACGGTAGACTAGTCATACTCGCATAAATGCTTGGACCTTGTGTAATACATGTGGCAGCCATGAGGGCATTGGCCCTCAGATTTGACATTCCTGTTGCGACACGCCTGATTGTTCCTGTGCGCCCTGTATGCTCTGTCAAACCTAGTGGGGGTGATGTACCTCCTTTCTCTTTCCTGATCTTGTCGCTGCCATGACTTGATTTCTCACTTGAATATTCGCTCTAACACCGCACGACGGAAGGCAAAATGGTGGTATTCTCAAGGCAAACCTCCGGCGACACTGAAAAGTCCCCGAAAGGCCATACCGCAATGGACGAAGTACGGCTGGAGTCTACACTTGGGCATAAACAAGAGCTGGCGCGGAACTTTGGACTGTGGAGTTTGACCAGCTTGGGAATTGTGATTGCGAAGTAAGGCCCTTGATTTTTTGGAAATTGCACTGATCAAACCTCGATAAACTAACGAGACCAAGTTCTTGGGCTTCAACAGGGGGCACCATTGTCGCTGCGCTCCAAAATGGGGGTCCAATGGCAGTTCTGTATGGCCTGATTCTGGTCAGCATCTTTTACACGACCATCTCAGCCTCTCTGGCTGAACTCGCCTCCTCAATGCCTTCTGCCGGTGGAGTATACTATTGGTCATCAGTCTTGAGCCGGAGTCGAGGCCGTACAGCGGGGTTCTTCACTGGATATTTGAATGCTTGCGCGTGGTTGCTATCAGCGTCATCAATGAGCTCCATGTTGGGGAATGAGGGCGTGGCCATGTATCTGCTCAAATATCCGACTGTGAAGTGGCATTCATGGCAAGTCTTCATTGTGTTCCAGATCGTCAATTGGACGTGTTGTGCCATCGTATGTTTGGGAAATCGGTTTATTCCCCTCCTCAACCGCATTTCCCTTATTCTCTCAATGTGTGGCCTCGTTACAACTGTGGTGGTTCTCGCGGTGATGCCAAAAAAGCATGCGAGCAGCGCCCAGGTATGGACTGAGTATCACAACAACACGGGCGGATGGTCAGACGGAGTTTGCTTCATGACTGGTCTATTGAATGCTGCATTTGCAGTTGGAGTCCCAGACTGTATTAGCCATCTATCAGAAGAGGGTACGTCAGAGACAGAAGAAAATGGAACCACCAACTAACACATATCTTAGTCCCCAAACCCGAAATCAATGTCCCGCAAGGCATAATGTTGCAGATGCTCACAGCCTTCGTCACATCATTTGTGTACCTAATCGCCCTGTTCTACTCCATCCAAGATCTAGACGCCGTCTTTGGAAGCAACATCGGCTTTTTCCCAACCGCCGAGATCTACCGGCAAGCGACAGGGTCTAACGCAGGCGCCATCGGTCTGATCGCGGTACTGTTTCTTGCAACCTTCCCAACTCTGATTGGAACATTCGTGACAGGTGGTCGAATGTGGTGGAGTCTAGCACGCGACAATGCTACGCCCTTTTCGAACTATTTTGCTCAAGTGCACCCGACACTAAACTGCCCCGTGCGTGCCACGGTTGCTATGAGCGCGCTCGTCACTTGTCTGGGGTGTATATATATCGGCAGCACGACGGCATTCCAAGCACTGATCTCGTCATTCATTGTACTAAGCTCGTTGTCTTATTTCGGAGCCATCTTTCCGCATGTTTTGTCTGGCCGTGGAAATATGGTCCCCGGACCATTTTATATGGGACAGAAACTTGGGATGGCGGTTAATATCGTTTCTTTGCTGTATATTTTGGTTACTGTTATTTTCTTCTGTTTCCCCCTCGTGTTGCCGGCCACGGTTCAAAATATGAACTATACCAGTGTGATCGTTGTCGGCTTGATGGTCCTCACTGCCTTCTGGTGGGTGTTCCGTGGCAGACGCCAATACCATGGCCCTCAGTATAGCTTTGAGGCTGCTGAGCGGTTAGCTACTTTCCAAGAGGGCAAGGAGGGTCGGCGATCTTTTATTGATCTTGTGGGTGTATCGCCTGTTGGTATTGAGTATGGGAATGTTTCATGATGAACGAGAAACGGATCTCGAACACAATGGGGATAGGCGCGAATTGTGACTCTTGTTGATGGCCTGTAATCTTTTCAAAGCATGTATTTATATCTTGAACTAATTTTGGATGAATATAATAAGGATTTATGTATCAAAACGCCGTAGTCAAATAAGGCGAGGCTAGAGATCAAACACGGCCGCACGATTAGCGGACGTTCAATTTGGAATTGGGAATAGGCATCTTTAGGTCATAACTATCATGTCATAGAGATCACTAGTAGGAGGCAAGATATCCTCTCATCTTCATAGTCGCGACTTAATGCTCTGTCCACCTTCCCAGGCCTCTCCAGCTTCGAGAGTTTGCCAGCCAGAAACCGAGCCAGCCTCCACACAGATCATGTTTTTGTAAGCCTCGTCTGGGCCGAAATCGGCCATGCCCTTGGCTTTCTCAATCCAAGGGTTCCAGACCACAACATCAGTCAAGCCTTCCCGAGTGATCGAGAACAAAGATTGGTCATCCTTCGCAGAGGCAACGACAATTGGAACGGCAGGGTCAAGTTGTTGGTAAATGCGATCGGTTTCTTGGGTGATCGCCAATGCGGGGGACGATTCAGTGTGAGAAGTCGCTTGGAGGGTCTTATCGATGTAGGTCTTGGATTCAAGGCCTTTGACACGGATGTCGGAAATATCCTATTCGTGAAATTCGAAATTAGCGGGGAATTGAGGAAAGTGACCATGGGGTGGTTTATCATACCGCAATGCTCAGATAGGTGTGCATCAGCACCTGGAACTCAAAGTTCTGCTGGCCCTCATTGCGAACCTGCAGTGACGTCTCCAATGAGTCCGTGGTGAGCGTAACACTGTACACCAGACCGAACTCATATGGCCATGCCGCGCGGAACTCGTCGGTCAGCATAGAGTGCGACAGGCCGAAGTCCAACTTCACGGTGAGATCGCTTTGGTCGCTATCCCTTCCGGGCGCTTCCGAAGAGGACTTGCCCAAGAACTCCCAGTTGGAGTTGCGAGCGAAGCCATGTTGTGGTAGGGGGGAGGTAACGTGGTTCTGGGGCGGGGGACCGAAGACCTGCAGAATAAGCAGAGCGGTTAGCTGTAGCTCCAGCAGAGAAATCGTAGGGTTCGCATACCGGGAACACCAGCGGAATACCACCACGAATAGGCTTGGAACCATCCAGATGAGACTTCTCACTGACAAACAGCTGCTCTTGGCCGCCTGTCTTCCATGAGGTCACAGTAGCGCCATACAGGTGCACGGTCACTGACTGGCCACTGGGCAACGAAGCTTCGATGATGTTGTCCTTGATGGAGAGAGTGGGCTGGGGAAGGGAAGCTCCCACTCCAATTGCCGATGGTTTGTTTGATCGCTCCATTTTAGAAGATATAGAAGATAGAACGGAGTATTGGGTGTTGAAATGGAGAAAGAGAGGTGATGTTTCAGTTTGAAGCGCGGGGGAAGAAGGGGAGATCTTATCGGCCCCGCCTGTTTTGTTTTGACGGGCTCCGGGAGTACCATCTCGATCTATGACATGACATTTATCACTTTCATCACATTTATGCAAATATCTTGATTTCAAGTCAACAAGAATAGTCAGCCACTTATGCGGCCTTGTGCCATCTATTTAAATGTCTTTTTTTAAAAAAAAATCCCATAGATATTTTGCCATCTGTTTCATACACCGCAGAAAAATGAGTGCCGCCGCTTTATGAGGGCGCTTAGGGTCCTGCTCACCGAGTATTTTACAACACAGGGTGATCGCTCAGGGTATGCTCAGTCAGTACCCAGACTGCGCTCAGCGAGCACACAGACATGCTCATCTTAATGGCCTAAAGATAAAGGCATAAAAGGAACAGTTTAATCACGTGAAATGTGGTTCACTCACTCATCAGCCATCTTATGTGATGCTAGCGCCCAACAACTAGAAACCTTTTGACATTAACCATCCTTGTTGTTGATTGCCCCCTGCATTAGGGGATATATTCACCGATATGACCGGCGGGAGATTATGACGTATGAAGATACATAACTAATGCGTGTGCCCTATCCTGACTATGGCTAGGATAATTTTCACGAGGTATCTAACACCTAGTCGAGCTATAAATACAGCGAAATCCCCTCGAATATAATCAATTATTAGAATTCACTGTCCCTTTTCATCCTCTTTATACTCTGTCATAGAAATGTGATTCGATTAGCACAAACTATAAAATTTATCTAGATAAGTCACGATTTCAATGAAAAGTTGTTAATTAACGAGCACAGATCTTAAGCCCGAAGATATATTATAGATGTATAACAGGTAGCTCTTACTAATTGATTGTGCTATGATTAATAGAGTATTTATTCTGCTTGGGTTTCATACTAGTCTTACGTATAATGTACAAAGTGACGGAGGAATGGAAATTTGCGTCTTTTCTCACCCTTTCATCCACTTGGCTGAATCAAGATTAGGACCATGCTCTGTCCTCCCATTGCTGTACTAACCAAGAGCCTGCAAGTTCAAAGTCAATGTTTCCATCGTTCATAAAATCGAAATTGATGTCATCAACAGAGGGTATTGCCATTGCGTCACAGCCTATCCCGCCTGCCACATTGGGATCTATGGTAATCCTCGAGAGTAAGTTAGCAGCTGTGGATCTCAGTATGCCATGGCAGACTTCTAGACTCTCGCTTGCAGACTTGACAATGGCCTCTTTGGTCGACGAGTCGCTGAGCATGGCATCCACTTGACCCATAGCCATACTCACAAACACATAGCCCCTCACATTCGTCTCACCATACGAAAGTCTATCTTGGGCGTACTGGACGATGTTCCGCGCGTCTTCTAAGAACGGCTCTCTGCGTGCCTGGTTGCGTTTCTTCACAAACGTAGAGCTCTCATTTTCCAGCTGTGTGATTAATTCCAAAAATACCAATAGAGCGCCACGCGTCAGAATATCTCGAAACATGCCACCACCAACAAGCAGTAGGCGACGGTATATCTCGTCGTCAAGCAGTGAGACTATATCAAGCGCAGCTTCAAAGCCTGCCTTCGACGAGAAGCTGTACATTGGATTGTGCGCGGCTTTGGCTGCATAAGGCAGGTGGAGGCACAACAGGAATCGACGGTGAAAATGATCACAGCAGCTATATGGAAATTCTGTCGGCCATAGGTTCTTGGCAACTGACTTGTGGTGATCAATGGAGACGGTCGCATTGCGGCAAACCGACGCTAACTCCTCTCCGAGACGAAGAATGCGATCATATGGAAGCTCCTCCTGCAACGCATTGATGATAATGGTAGCCTCCAGCCTTAATAGCACGGAAGAGGCCAATAGACATTGGAATGAAGCCCGTGTTGGCGTTGGAAACATTTCCTTAGGAGAATCCCACTGCATTTCATTATCCAAATCCTCGTCATTGAGATTTGAGGGCGGTCGGGTATCAAAATCATCGGCAGTGACCATGGGACGCATGCCTGAGTCTAAAGCAGCCTGCACATTCATCTCTAAAATCGTGTACCAGAGCCTTCTTCGGATCTCCTTTTGTAGCAGCGCCATTCCTCCTAGGTGATCGGGATCTTGATGCAACCCCATTTGTATTGCCATGCGCATTAATGAGCCAGCTGAGATCCAGACTAAATCCGCCCCGACATAATTCACCTGGCGAGCGAGAAGAAGCAAATAATAAACTTGTAGACCATCGAGTGAGAGGCGATCTTTTTCGATGGGTACAGAGACCCAATTTTGAGCAACATGGATCCAGCTGCGGGCTTTCGCGCGCCATTCCTGCTGTAAGCCGGCATCGTCAAGCAAGGAAGTTGTATTAGCCATCACTAGTAGAAGTATCACCACAAATGAGGCCTTTGCAGTTCCCGGATCTTTTATATAGTCCTCATATTCTGCTCGGAATGATGGAAAATGAAGTATGCGCAAGTATGATTCAAAAGAATTGAAGTATATTTGCACCAATTGGTTTGTCACCTCAGGGTCAGGGAAGGTCTGGTGTATGCCGGCGGGCAGTGAGCCTCGACTGGGCTGTTGTGATTTGATGTCACGAGCAAGCTGTTTGCATTTCATTAACACGTTTGAGATTCCAGGAATTGAACCGTCGCTTGTTTGTTGGGGTGTCACGGGTCCGGAATGGGTTATGGGTTCCAAGGTTGGCAGTCTTTCCGCCTATTTTTATCCGCAATCTCCATCAGCAACGGTAAAGGAACAATATAAGCAGAGTAAAGATGCGCATACTAAAGGAAATATGTTCCTCCAATGGCCATGACCAAATATTCTCGTCTTTGTCAAGGTTCCCAAGATCGGACCAGATGCAGATAAGATTTGCGTAGATTCCGTTGTTTTGTGGCTGGCGAGAAAATTATTGTGTGGTTGGTGGGAGCCGGAGGTTCTCTTAGTTAAACTGGCTTCAGCTGCTCTTGTGGTATCTCCAGGAGCCCCTTTGTTGGTGATATTGTCAAGATACTGGGGTTGGTTCAAGATGTACGCATCTCCTCCACCAACTTTAGTTGCATCAGCAAATTCAGGCTTTCGTTTTTTCTTCTCAGTTATTGTTGTCCTGTCATCTTCTGTATAGGTATATAAGGCGGAGTTACGTTGTGTACACTGCCCGCAAGGACTGTTCCGGTCACATTTAACCTTACGGCGCCGGCATGAAGTATAAGCTAGGGCTGGACGACGGCGTTTCCTGGGCGATGGCCTTGGAAGTATTATTCCTAGATTTAAGCAATGGTAAAGCTTAGTTATGATAAATGGGAGGAGGTAAGTGGTGTGTCGCTAAGGACGTGTAAACTCCGGATTGGGGATTATCGAAGAAGGGGTGAGCTTTTATCCAATATCTCCGAAGCGGGTCCAGATATGTCCCTCCGGCCCTATAATTTACCGATACTATGTTCGCTCCTATTTATCTCCGAAGGATTTGGCGATGGTCAAAGTATCTTCCTATACCACTAAACGGATATTTTGGTTGTCTCTACTCGGGGCTTTAGTTTTTGGCTCGGACTAACTGCAATTTCCCGAGTTGACCGAGCCTGCAAAAATTGGTCGAGTGAAATATGGAATATTAAAAGCAACCTCGTCAAATGATATTTGCGGTGATACGCAAAGACTTTCTTACTTTTGCCCTTTATTCTATCTACCGTTATTGATTAACTTGCTTTACCTTTCACTTGCCTTTGAGCTAGAACCGATATTATGCAGACCTCTACGCATAACCTGGACAATACGACCTTCCGAGGAAGATAGCCTTGGTAGTAAGGAAGAAGCTAAAGCAGACCAGCCGTAAGTCGCTTTCCCGGACGGTGGACTTCGTGCATGGAGTGTTGTTGCTGGAGTCTTCTGCATTTCCTTTTGTACCTTTGGCTATTTGAATGCATATGGGTAAGTGTCATCTGTGGAACGACTTGCAGAACCATCATTAATTTGTTTGTCAATGTAGCGTCTACCAGAACTACCACTCAAGGCATCAACTCATGGAGAAGTCTGCATCAACAATCGCATGGATAGGATCTGTGCAGACCTGTCTTTTGCTCGGTGATGGAATAGTAGGAGGTCCCTTGTTTGACAAATATGGCGCAAAGGTGATTGTTTCTGCATTCTGACCTGCGAAGTGTGTTGATTCAATAATCTAACGATTCACAACACTACTGGATCATGTTTCCCGCCGCCATCGCGTTTATATTATCCGTTACAATGACATCCCTTTGCAAGGAACATTATCAATTCATGCTGGCACTGGGTATTCTTGGCGGACTGACTGACGGTATCATGTTTTCGCCGGCAATGGCCGCAGTCAGCCATTATTTCCAAGCGAAGAGAGGTGCTGCACTTGGAATAACTGTCACCAGCTCTTCGCTGGGAGGAGTAATCTTCCCAATCGCATTGAGCAAATGTTTGAGAACCCTACCCGAGCCTTATCAAGGACTGCTAAAAGGATTACTCAGTCCAGCAGGGACGATCCAGAATTGTATTGATTTGATTATATGATTTAGCCAAACGTCGAACGATGGTAAGCGAACGGAGAAGCAACAGGTTACTTGACCTTTGATTGATTGACCACATAGAGAAAATATCCATGTTCCGATCTTCAACGGCCCCGAGGCCATAGCCCGATGCTCTTACGCCCGAGAACTCCTGCAAAGCCCGAACCTCGTCAAAGGCTGACAATGCGTCGTACGGGATTACACCTGATTCTTGTTGCTCCTTAACCGATGAGCCATTTAATACAACTCTCGGAGATGATGTCACAATGTTGCAGTTATGTTCCTTGACGCGGCCACCGGCCGTAACGACGGAGATATCGCAAGGCTTTTGGCTATCCTGAATATTATATTTTAGTCAAGATTTTTGCCCCAAATAAACACTCGAGCTTGTCATGCAAAGCCATTATCACATAGTAGACTCGCTATTTCAGACAGGCTTCGTCTACCACGCAAGTAGGTATTCTTCCATAAAAGCACTTGCCGTATCTTGCTCACATCCTGGGCTAGCAGTAGCTCAACGTGAATTTGGGCGATAATATACATTATTCTTTGTACGATTATACTCTTCCCATGATTCACAATCTATCTCTCGTGTACGTCGTAGAGCTTCGATTTTGTGAAGAATGTGTTGCTTCACATAATCGAGGTTCGATTTGATCTATATGACAAAGGACTATTGACCCTAAAAACAGAATTTATCATCAGCAGCAACAAACTGAAAGGCGAAGGGGGAAAAATACCAAATGAATATTCAAGGAAATAATAGAATTTTTATGCTTCGGATGCTCGGCTTCGTTAATCTCAACGGGGATAACATTGCCCGGTCGAAGTCTTCGGACATCTATATGCCGAGAATGGTTAAGCAACATTGTTAACTATGGAAAAAAAGTCCCATAAAACCCCACATCCCTCTAAACATGAACCTGCAAAAAAAAAGAATGTTCAATATTACGATCCTCATATTCAAGTTTGTTAGAGTAGTGTTCGTTGCCGTTGGCAATGCCATCAATCGAAAAATCGCCTCCACGATCCATCGATACCGTTACAATCTGGTGGATCCTCCTAAAAACATTGTGATCATTGGAGCTTCCTTCGCGGGATACCATGCCGCTAAACTGCTGGCTAACTCCGTGCCGACCGGTTACCAAATCGTCGTGATCGAAAAAAGCTCGCATTTCCAATTCACGTGGGTGTTCCCCCGTTTCTCGGTGGTAAACGGACACGAACACAAAGCCTTCATCCCCTACGGGCCCTTCCTTAAAGGAGCTCCTAAAGGGAGCTGGCGGATGATACAGGATACTGTCCTGGAGGTAAGCCCGCGCACGATCTCGCTACAAAGTGGAGTCAAGCTAGACTATGAGTTCCTCGTTCTTGCAACAGGCTCCCAAGCAAGTTCTCCCTCTAGGCTCAACGTGAATGAGAAGAATGAGGGAATTAAGGTCCTGCAGAGCTTGCAAAATCAGATCCGAAAGGCGAGTGATATGGTGATAGTGGGCGGGGGTCCTGCTGGCGTCGAACTTGCTACGGATGTCAAGAGCGTCAACCCTCATAAAAATGTGACATTGATCCATTCGCGGAAGACACTCCTGAGCAACTTTGGAACGAAGGTCCATGACGTTGCGCTCGAGGCCTTGGAAGGGTTCGGTGTATGCGTGATCCTAGGCGAGCGGGTCCAAACTCACAGCGAAGACAATGGGAGTGTGGTGCTGGGGACGGGGGCAGAGATCCCCTGTGATTTATTGGTATGAACACCTGATTGGTATTTTGAATGCAGGCTTACCCGCCCTAAGGTTCGATGCACCGGCCAAAAGGCTGCATCGGATATCATCGCCGAGCTTTGCCCCGATGCTGTCTCATCCTCAGGCGGCTTTGTGAAGGTAAAGTCTACATTGCAGATCGCGGACGACCGGTTCAGCAATATCTACGCGGCTGGTGACATCGTTGCGTCCACGGGTCCCAAGAATGGTCGCTCCGCCGCACGACAGGCAGAGATTGTGAGCAATAACGTCGTCCGCGCAATTAAAGGCCAATCTCTCACCATGTATCACTCCGATATGTTGATAGAAGGCGGTATAGAGTTGACACTTGGATTGGTAAAATGGCCATTGACCGGATTTTGCAAAGTACCGACAGCTGACTAGTACAGGATGAACACGTGGTCTACCTTACGGACGGCTTGAGGGACATGCTTCTCACCTTTAAGTCGAAGGACATCGCGTTGAAATCTGAAGCTTGCTGGAAAATGATGGGGGTAAAGCCATTCTTGGACGAGGCCTGGGAAGCGGCTCAGTGATGAAATGAAGTTAGACGGCGTGCTAGATCCAATGGCCCTCACGGAAGTCTGGCTAGTTATACACAGGTGCTTCTTTTGTATTTCTTACATTTACGTACATTAACACATTTGCCGGAGTGGTTTTATCATTCAAGACAACAACAACCCTGCATCAGCAAGAACATGCGTCAGTTCTGTTTCTTAAATAGTACTACTTTCAGATCATATAGGGTCCTCTTCTTAGTTATGAGGGAGCTGCACTAACATTTATAGTCGGGCCCCCGGTCCCGCGCATCACCGCCTCGGCGAAACCAGTTCCCTCCCCCCCGGCGAGTGGGCCAATCATCTTGTCAACCTTGCGTTTCCTTGCGCGGTGGAAGGCCGCATACCAATTCAGAACTGCTCAAGGAGCTGGTCGATCGCACCCCCCGTCGTGAGCCCATGCTTCGTTTCGGTATTCCCATGGCCGGAATCGCCCTCGAATTTCAACTCGGCAGCAACATCAAACGCGTTGAAGCCATGTACATATTCATGGTTGGTCGGATTGCCGATGCGGAGTGTGACAGTCGCGGGCGTGACAGGGGAATTTTCCCCTTCTGCGTCACCGTTGACCTTGCAGATGGCCACGTGAGGTGTGCTAATTGTCACTGGGACAACTACATATGTTCTAAAGCCCAGGTGGAATCCTCACGAACTACATCCAGATATTCCGGCCAAGGCTCCCGGGGCCTCAGCAACGAAGGCCGCGCTAAGATTTCGGAGGATATTCTTGAATTAGGCGCCGCCTTCAACCTACTCAAGCAAGACAATGAGAGAATCCAAGAGAGGGTTGCCTCGAATTCGACCGCGTGGACTACCCTCAACACCACTACTTCCACCCTCGTCGCTCAGCAAGGCCGCATCCTACGTCAAAGAGACACCTGAGACCTACAGCGCGTCGCCTCCCGGGGAAGGACCCAGGCCTGTATCATCCAGAACAGATTAGCCAACATGAACAATCAACAGGAGAGATTTGAGACTGTTCTCACCCGCATGGAGAGTCACATTCGGCAGCTCTACCGGTAGTCACCTCAGGCTTACAGTGTGTCGCCAGACCAGCTTGACTACTGTGAATAACCAACATAAGGAAATTGAGGAGTTCTACCCAGTTTTATGTTTTCATTTTCTATTCTCAAAAGGTTTCTGGCGTCTGCCAGTGTAAATGGAGCCCCTATGACTGAAACACAGTGAAACACAGTGAAACACAGTGAAACACAGTGAAACACAGTGAAACACAGTGAAACACAGTGAAACACATTCTTCACTAAGCGCAATATGATCGATAAGTAGAAGTGTAAAGTACATTTCAACTACTCCCACTCCTTAGGGAGTAGAACTATTAGGTCGGATGCGGGATGGTATAGTATTGGTGCCTGAAATTAAGCTGGCAGAAAATATGAATACCTGAATTACCATAACACAGCCCTTAGTTACTATTAGCACCTATATAAATCCTAGGCTTCCCTCAATTCTGGGCGTTGAGACCTTCCCACTGGGAAATCTTATACGCTTGCTCTGGCCGCGCTTCGAAGCTTCCTCCGAGGCAAACCCTCCGTCTCTATATTCCCGGGTGGGAATAGCTTCAACATCGTCAGATACGGCGATATACTCGGTCGGAGGGTTTCAACGCCCAGAAATAGGGAGAATCGTATGGTGGGAATAGCTTCAATATTACGAGGGGAGCTTCAAATCCTTAGTATATTTGTCTAGTTTATAGCAGTCAAAGCTCACTCTCCAGCTAGAATAGCTCCTTGGGTAAAATGTTTTAGGTGATACAACAGAGTTCTAGCGACGTTTCGAAGCACCTTATGATCAAGATTTGAAGGAGCAACGGGACCCACTGCTATTCTGGGATGACCAAGTACAAGACTCACTTGATGTCTATCCTCCACTTGCATGGATACTTATATGGGGAGGAAATTTGCCCGCCTCGAAGGCATCCTCTGTTTGACAAGTCAAGGGCGTGTTATCAAGCACTGCATCGGCGAACTCAGCAACGTCATTCAGGAATGTCGTATCGAAGAGAGTGAACGCATCAGGCACAGATTGTGTAGATTGTGTGCGAATACCGAGATGGACTTACCTAAAGTGGCTAGTCATTGTGTGTCGGTAGTAAAAGCACTGTGTCGGCAGTCGTGCTCTTTCATAAATGCGGTTCTAATTTCATCTTTGGCTTCGCGTGAGTGGTCCGATAACGAGGCAAAATAGGCAATGCATTCATTATGATAGTGTATATGTAGGTATTTTGTACTTCTGTCTGTTAATCGCCAGAAAACAACACCTGCTTAGCTATGTTTACGTACTGTTTAAGTATACAAATCTGTATGGGACGACTTCCAAGGTTATGGACCCATGGCACCTTCCCACTTCCTCTTTCACCGATCCTATTCTGTTGCTTCATCTGACCACCTTGCTTCTACCATTGACACTATCACCGATGTGTACATATCGAATCACTCAGATATGGCTAGTAAGTTGATTTTCTATCAGTTATCTCAAAGATCATGCCACTCACATACATAGTTTTCGGTTGATCGAGACGAAGCACACACTGAAGCCGCGGCATTCATGATCGACCAACTATGCATTTGCCGCCTGGGAAAGTGCCGCAACAGATTCGACGCAGGCGGAGCTCATCAAATGGCTCCTTGAGAGCCTGCAATTTGTGTTAACGAGACACGCCAACACCTACAACACCATTGGCGTAACTGCCGGGGTTCTTTGCCGATATTCATGGTGCAAATGAGCCATGGTGCCCTCACGCTTGGCACAAGACAGATATGCAAGTCCTTGTGGTCAAGGTCAAGAGCCTGGCTTGTCTAATGATCCTTGTGCTTTCCGGCTGGAATGGTTTAAAAACCTGCCCTCTGCCTGATGCATGAAAACGTCTTTGGCTGGTTTGAGAGTGCTAGAGTTCCCATGAAAATCCACGCATTTCCCGATAGGCCACGTCGCCTCTTTGATGTCAACCCGCAGCAATTCCGAGGAGTATTGCGTGACATTACTCCTGGCAAGGACGGTGTCAAGCTGGAGGACTTGACTTGGCAACATTTTGATAACTTCTGGTTCTGCGTACTTCATTATGCCGGAGCAAACACCAGAAGCCCTGCAGGGAGAACCCGGATAGTGAACCAAGGGTACGGAAGAAGAATATCAAGAGGGGTACCCGGGTTAACAATTTTTCTTTGGGTGCCCAACCACCTGTGACTGGGCTGAAAAAATACCTCCAGCTCACAGAGCTGGATGCTCCTCAGCTCCCCCGGCTTGACCTTAACTCCCCTATCATTTTGAGAGGGGAGCGAGCTCTACTACAGATACCCGGGTTGCTGTGTGACAACTCGTCACCGTCAACCAGTGGGCTTACGAGCCCACTATAAGATCAAGCATGGCATTGAGTATACCAAGTTCAAGACAGCCATTGGGAAGATTGGACGGGAACAACATGAAGCCTATACCGCAAACTTTGCGAAGCCTGACTTCAAGTGCCCTCACTGCGAGGGTACTTTCGCGCATGGGCTACCTGGTCAGACACAAGAGGCGAGCAGAAACGCTTTCCACCAAGAAATCAAGAGATCGCCGCAATTCCCACCCAGAATGCGTCGTGAAGTCCAAGCCTGTCTGTGGGATATGTGGGGAGTGGTTCTTCACCCAACAACTGCTTGCCGCCCACGAAGGGCACAAGCACCCAGAAGTGTGCATTGAAGGCCTGGTGAAGCCACACTGTGAAGCCACTTTCATGCGTCTTGACAGCCTAAATAGGTAAAAGCAGATCTGCAAGAAGAACTCGCAAGGCAAATGGAGGGAGCGGAAGATGAATGTTCGTGGAGGATGGTCCTCTACTACCTCGTCTAGACTTCAGCTCCCCCGTTGTTTTCTGGGGGCAATACTGTCGGTACGCCGAGTGCCGAGTAACAACTCAGACAAGAAAATGCAGGGCCGACTCCCGTGCCATCCACATGGCAGTTCCCTTGAGCAACTTTGTCTATTGCCGTTGGTACTAGATAATTCGTGGGAAATAAATGGTACTTTTTTCTGATTATCAAAATTATTTGTTCGTTTGATCCACTCGACAAGGATCCACAATATACATTTCCCAAAACAGAACTATTCTGTTATCTTTGAAGAGAACAAGAATAGCCAGTCGCGCATACGGCCTTATCGTGTCTTTCTAGAGGTCTTTCTAGTAGTCTTTTTTGGTATGTTCTTTTTGATATTTTCCTCAATTATTATTGGTGTTCAACACAAATCTAGAATATAGGCAGTGAAAAAGTTGCAATATCTTTTTCTTTGGCCTCGCGGTTAACTCGGCAACATCTCTCAATCGCATCGACCCCACGCAAATGTGGGGGGAAATGGTGTCATAGCTCATTTTTCACTCCGACTTTCTTTTCTCTAGATAACAAAAGTCACTGCTATACGGAATACGGATATAAAGTGCCAGGGTAGGATCACGCAAAAACGGCAGTGCTCTAAACCCCAAATATCTACCCCATCCCCGCTCGCGTGACAACTTCCCGAGCCGGGATCTCCGTTGATGGGGGCTTCTCCGCAAACTCAGAAAAATGGCCAAGACCGCCACGAGGACCCAGCAAATGTCCATCTTGCCCCCCAGGATTCTGACTTGATCGATCATCATGTAGACTTCTCGAGTACAGAAAGCGACACCGATCTCGAGAGCGACGACACCGCAATTTTCGAAAGCGGCTCCCATCGGAGATTAGAGTCCGCGCCGCTGATAGCCAATCGCCGAAGATTTTCCTCAACCAACGAAGATGATGACGATAATGATCATGACGGCGTGCTCGCGTCGGCCGATGAGGACGAGGAGAAACCGGTAACTTGGAGCTCGTTACCGAAAAAGGGCCAGTTGGCGATCTTGACCTTAGCGCGACTGTCAGAGCCGTTGACACAGACTTCTCTGCAGGCATACCTGTTTTATCAGCTCAAATCGTTTGATCCATCTCTGCCAGACTCGAAGATCTCCGCGCAGGCGGGTATCCTTCAGGGTAGCTTTACAGCCGCGCAATTTATCACTGCGGTCTGGTGGGGCCGTCTTGCCGATGCTGAATGGATGGGACGGAAAAGAGTGTTGTTAATCGGATTGATGGGCACCTGTCTGTCTTGTGTAGGCTTCGGCTTCTCTCGATCTTTTGCGACGGCCATGGTCTTTCGAACACTTGGTGGGGTATTGAACAGCAATGTGGGAGTGATGCGGACACTGATTGCAGAGATCATTGCTGAGAAGAAGTAAGTTGATATGTTCACGCAATGTGCCAATTTGCCTCAGGCTAACCATTTAGATATCAATCCCGCGCGTTTTTGCTCCTACCTATGTGCTTTAATATCGGTGTTATCATAGGTCCAATCTTGGGAGGCACTTTGGCCGATCCTGTCAGCAGCTTCCCGCAATTTTTCGGCCCGGGATCTATTCTTGGGGGTAAAGAAGGCGTCTGGTGGATGCAGCGTTGGCCCTATGCTTTGCCGAATCTCTTGAGCGCCATCTTCATATTTGTCTCATTTCTCGCCGTATTTCTTGGCCTCGATGAGGTGAGATCATTTCCGTCTGAACCCATACGGTCGCTAACAGCAAACCCGTTTTAGACCCATGAAATTGCACGTTATAGAAAGGACTGGGGTCGTAGTCTAGGCAAGCGACTCACAAGAGCTTGGACCCGACGACCCCGACACTATCGTCTATTGACACGCTCCAGAGACGACGACTCCATTTACACGGATGGCAGCGTCGGCACTTGGTCTACGCCATCAAGTCCAGCGCGCTCTCGCGTGCATCCACGGCCACATAAGAAGATAGGGTTCAGCCAGATCTGGACACGCAACGTTATCCTGACTTTGACAGCTCAATTCCTGCTCGCCTTCCACACAAGCGCCTTCAACTCCATGACATTTGTGTTTTTGCCCGCACCCCGTGCCCCAGAGAACTCCCGACAAGGTCTTTTCCATTTCGGCGGTGGATTAGGTCTTCCATCATCCCGAGTTGGACTTGCTACTGCTATCATTGGTTTCATCGGCCTACCACTGCAGATATTCCTCTATCCGCGGATACAGACAAAGCTCGGCACACTCACGTCATTCCGAGCGTTCCTTCCCTTTTCGCCCATCGCATACGTGCTCATGCCCTTCCTTGTGATTCTCCCACGTATACCATGGATTGTTTGGCCTTCTTTCACGTTTGTCGTTGGCTTGCAGGTCATCTCGCGAACATTCATCCTGCCTGCTTCTATCATCCTGGTGAACAACTGTGTTACAGATCCATCTATCCTAGGCACCGTCCATGGTGTGGCACAGAGTATCTCTAGTGCAGCTCGGACACTAGGCCCATTCCTGGGTGGCTGGGGCCTGGGATTCGGCCTTGAGAATAATATAATCGGGGCTGTTTGGTGGGCACTAGCTGTTGAGTCTTTGCTTGGTTGGGCCATGCTGTGGAGTATCTACGAGGGTAAGGGAATTGAACGGAAGAAAGATGTGGAAGAGGAGGATGAGGAGTGATCTTCTTTGACTTGTTGATAATACCCATTGTCTACACTCCTCCTTGAATGTGACAACCAGACCCTAGCATGAAGAGCGAGTCTTTATATATCAAAACGGGATTTTGTTCCTATCTGCTTTGTTCCAGCTCAACTCATTAAATCATGAAAAAAACGAGCAGTAAATAATCCAAGTCATCACGTCCGAATAGATGGGGCAATGAATGCCTTCATTGCCTTGGTGACATCCCCATCATGAGCCTTGAGCAACTCCGTGGCTTTGGTTTTATTTAGATCCAGCTGGTCAACCTAGAGGCACATTAATAAAGCCGCACATAAATAAATAACGAAGCCATATACATGGCAGACATACCAGTAGTGTAACATTAGCTGGAGCAATCTTGACTGCCTTCTTTTTCGCTACCTCATCAATCTTCGGTCCCTCGGCCAGTTTCCCATTGCCCGAGCCTTGTCCGGCTGCTATCTCCAGCCGGCTCATGGCCCTTCCCAGAGCCTCTTGGTTGGCAGTAAGCGGTGCCCCAGCGGAGGCGCCTTCTGTGGCGATCTCATTTGTGTTTAGGGAGGAGAGAGCGGCGGCAGCTTTGCGATCTTCAGCGTTTGAGGGAAGAGAATTTTGAACGGTGTTTGGGTCAGCAGTTGCAGAGGGAATTTCATCGGACATCTTTTCTTTATTCAATGGACTTGAGAGTCGGATACGATCTTAACTTGGGTTGCGTTGACAATACGACGTCACTGATAAGCCCCAGGTTCAGATAAGTGCTGACATAATTGTTTGTTTGTCCCGAGGTCCCAAGGTCCTGGGGTCAGCCCTAGCTAAATTCCATTTTCTCTTTTGATCAACTTGGTATCTTATGTTTTAGAGGCTTTGGGACAATTAAAAGCTCCTTTTTGGGTTGACTCCACAGCTTATAATCTCCACTTTAAGGCTCTACTTTTGAACCCTCGGAAGAACCTCGGGATGAGAAGACACCTAAGGGTTGAGGCCTAGAGTATAGTTTTGGTACCTGGAGAATATACTTCGATCAAAAGTTCCAGATGATGATGGCACTGATTTGCCTCCTCATGTTGAGGCATCTGTAGTCACACTCAAACGGACCATAGGAGCCTCCTCAATCTTACATCTGACTCTTTATATGGAATTGAATATGCATCCATCTCATTCTTTGTATCATCCCTGGTCATACGTAGAAAAGCCCTCTATACTCTGTATTGTTTACACTTTTTGCGTCTTTTTCTGCGGTCTAGCTATGAAACTTGGAAGGGAGAGAAATATCCAGAAACACACACATATACCTGCTTCTTTGTGAGTTCGCTTTTCTCGTCATCCTAGCCATCTTACCGCACTTATGAAGATCGAAGAAACAGTTCTCTACCTATAAGAGAGATTTGCATTGCACCTTGCAGCGTGTTTTTTATAGCTGACGACAAGCCAGTGGGGACCGAGGCACAGACAAATAGGAATACTCTAGTTACTACTGATCAAATTAGCTTGATCCCAAGCTGTGTGCAGATTGGGGACAAACCAAAGAGATGTCCTTCGCAGAACCCATGGCCTTGACTTGCTTTGCTAGTGTACATTATTCCTTGACATATCTCCAAACCTTGAGTCTTGCTAGCTAGGATGATTAGATAAAGGGACAAACGACTTCAACAACAACCTTTGTGTGTTTGGATCCCATTGGCTTTAGATCTTATTTGTCCTTAGATTGCTTTCACTTTAAATCTTATTACTCGTAGCTCAGATGATTGACCCTTTGTCATGCCCCCGATCTCTTCACAGTGTCCCCGTCAATGACACGCACAAACGCATTCATACCTTCCATTGTTAAATCTCGGCATATTCAAGTAAGTCAGTTTCAATTCCGAAGGGTTTAACAACTTTGCTTCAGCCACCACCGCGTCAAGTTAGTCTCTCTCTCATTTGATTCATCTCTAACCTGTTGGTTACATCCTTGTTGTCTCTTCGACCTCCTTGGTCCTTTTGGGGGCCTTGATTCGCTGACAACCACATACTACAGCACAGGTTTACCCTCGAGCACTGCCTCTTACGATGTCTCTATCGGCAGTAGCCCCATCTCCCGACAACGTCTCGATCTGGGAACAAGCCTATCATGACGCATGGCGACACTTCCAAACATGCATTGTAGGAGTACTCGATAGGCTAGCCTGCTACAATCCATCTATCCAAGATCGTCAGACAACAATTGAGAGACTAGGACAGCTTACAGTTGAGGTGGACAATATCCGAATTGCAGGACAGGCCATGTTTGAGCATGTTCCGGGCTGCCAGACTGTGCGAGAGGGGACCCTAACTTACTTCGCCGATGACTTCATCGAAGACTGCCTCGAACTTCACTTCAAGCTGAATATGTTATCATGGAGGCTCATGAATCGCCCGCATAGCGACCGAACAGTGTACAATCGCCTTCTCATGTTGCTAGACTCCACAATGGACCGCGTGCCCGAGTGATGATCTAGATTGTTTGGTTTGTCGGATTGAATTAGCATCGATTGGTATTGATCTTGAAGATTCTAACTTGGATGATTATGAACAGTCAGCAAAGAAAATGAGCGACTTACGACACCCTTGTTACGATTTTGGAAGCTTGAATCACAATAGGTCATAATGTTTGATTTGGTGGGCTGCATGGTCTGGTTCTTTGGCTGCATCACCACCCATATTGGCTCTAGATATGCTAACATCTCACTTATACACAGACTGGAAACCGTGAGCGATTTACCATACGTTTCGTACGTCTTCAGAATGTCAGTGGCAATTGAGAGTCGAGACTGTGAGAGTCATACTGGGTGTTATCTTTTATTCTGCGTGAACCACGAAGTTTGAGCCCAATTTGCTCGTTTGGAGCTTGTAGAAATTGATAAGCAACATGATTAGTCTACATTGTGCAATATTCAGAGTATACGTAGACCATAATTCATCCCATAGTACATCGTAATGAAATTAAGTACCAACATACATACGTATGTACATAGTTATATAGTGAAAGTGTTGTTGTACACACAGATCTATGCACAGTGAGTCAAAGTTGATTATAAACCTTCAAGCAGGGAAATGAATGCTTCAAAAATGCTCTACAGGGCAAGAGCAAGAGCCAAAACACCAGCTGCACCAGCAACGCTCATGGCAATACCTCCAGTAGGAGCAGGGGCGCCACCGGTAGAGTGCGTAGAAGAAGGAGAAGATGATGTAGAGCTGGAGCTCGAATCCGAGCTAGAGCCTGAGGAGGTAGTGGAAGCCGAAGTGGTCTCAGCAGCATTGGAGGAGGTCTCGGCAGCATTGGAAGAAGTCTCGGCAGCATTGGAGGTCTGGCTGGCAGCGGTGGAAGAGCCAGTCTCAACGGCGGTGCTATCAGCAGTCTCAGTCTGAGTAGCGGTGCTATCGGCGGTTGCTGTGGCACCAGCGATCTGGTCATCAAAGTTGGAAGTGGCCCATGCCTTGACGCTGCTAGGCAACGCGTTGTACCAAGCCGGGTAGGTGCCAGCCGCAGCTTCGCTGACAATCGCGGAGCGAGAGGCGGGGTCCATGAGGTCGTCGTACCATGAGGCCGGGATGGCTGTTGCCAGGACACTCATGATGGAGCTGGGCACATCCGCGAGATCGAGACTATCATCGCTATCGGTAGTATCAGTGCTTGAGGCTGTGGCAGTAGAATCCGCAGGGGCAGGGGCAGCCAGGGCCGTGGTGGCGAGGAAAAGAGTGGCAAGGATCTTGTACTGCATGATTAAAAGAGTGTGGGAGTATAGGGATATGAATTGAATAGGAGAAAAGCAGAGGTTAAATAGACTCGCCAGGCGAAGAAAGAAGGGCACCCACTCATGGGGCTCTTTCAACCTTTGGAACCTTGGAAGGGCCTTCCAAGGTTTGCCTTCAAGGGCCCCGACCCACGTTTTTACCTCCGTTAGGGCCACACTAGTACAAAACAAGCAAAAGCCAAACCGATAACGCTAACCTAAAATAGCAACTCTACGGCTAGTGTCGAGGTTCCGCCAATCACAGCTGGCAAGTCCCTTACGGTCGGCCCGATTAGACCAATTTCCTCAACGCTAGGCGTTTTCGATACGAAAGTTGCCTGCGCTATGGCTTGGATTAATTTCTCATGTCCGTCAGCCTTTGCTCTGGACGGGGTCCATTGCGACCTATCGTGCCCCTTTTTTCTTGTTTCCGTGCTCCGTCCTTTTTTTTCCAAATTTAGCTCTTGAAGGGTCGGCTTTCCATGCCAAGTCTGGGGTAGTGAGGAATGTGGTAAATGTGAAATTTGCGTTGAAATCTCCATTTCCACACATCTATAAGCTTTGTTGCCTCCAAACTTTATCGATATAGTAAATACTCCATATGACGGCCTTGCGGAATACGTCTTCCTATGTTACAGCCAGCAATTTACCGCAAGGTGCTTTTAGAATTTCACTGTGGGGCTTGTTACATATTTCTACGTGGTGGTTAGATATGTGGTCAGGTAGTCAAGTATTGACTAGCGCTTATGCTAGAGAAATCTAATAATCAGTCAGGATATCTCCCCCCTGTGTAATTAATCCCCCAAATCAAGAGTCTAAAACCATTATGTTCCATTTCATATCAGTCCAATTGCAGCAGCCATGGCAAAAACAGCTCCGCTATAACAATTTTGTTGTTCAAAGTCGAAGATTTTATATGCTGCAGATATGATATCGCAAAAACCTACAGACTACATGTGGTGTTTATAAAACAAGGCCCGCCTAGTTCAGACAGACCATTCGCAAGGTTCAAGGGTCACCAAACAAAGAGATTTCTGGAACTATCAGAGACGCCAGTTTAAGACACTCAGACAATACTAACTCCAAGGCTCTGTTCATCGTTGCCAGTCCTGTTCAACATGACTATCAAGTCAGCTGTGAGAACTTTTCTGATGTCTACAAGGAGACGAATTTCATCACTTGATGCATCATACAGGCCAGGTTCGAAAACAGGCACTCATCCACATCATCAAAGGGTCCGTTTCCCGGATCTACAGCCTTTCAAAATCGTTCAGACTCTAAAGCAAGAATATACCCATCATAGGCCGTGCCACCTTCCACACCCATTTTTGTACATGTCAGGGGTACTACTTGATGGCTTGAGGAATAGAGGCCAGATGTTATGAGGCTGCTACATGGATAATTCAATAGGACCCCATGATCCGTGCTCAATGGGGTTTCTTCTAATTCCAGTCGAATACCACTGTTTGGATATGGAAAGAGTTATGTGAGACTCTTAGTAACTAGCAACCTCCTGACCTATACACAACTACCTATAGTCGCACAGGAATGTGGGATAAATATGATGCCTGTTATATCAGGCATCAAAGTGAGTCATCCGAGTCCCGTGAATAACCGTCTCACGTACACACACCACAACATTAGCTCTCTTCTTTATTATGTGCCCTTGATATCTTTTCGCTCATCAGTTCTTTGTTGCTGTTTCCGAGAGATTATTATTATTATTCCACTGCCGCCTTCCATCAATTTCTCATTGCAGTTGTTTGTTACTGTTGATCAAAGGGAAGACACTTATCTCATATCATCCCACCACCTTTCGGGATCAACTGCCCACCATGGCCGAATGGAGCCCTAGTTGTAAGAGCCAAAATCTATAAAATCTCCTCCACGTTTGATCTAGTGTCACTGACCATATCTAGCTTGGACACAAAAGCCCATCAAGCAAGATGTCATCTACGAGGATCTTGAAGGGTTAAAAGCCTCACTACAAAAACTACAGAAGCTTCCTCCACTTGTGACCACACAAGAAGTATGTCTTTTATTTAGACTGAATCTGAGCTATCATATTGACCTGGTTTTCAGATCATCAATCTCAAGAAAAATCTACGAAATGTCGCTTTGGGCAAAGCATTCGTTCTACAGGGTGGTATGTTGCACAGGAAAGTATCCCTGAAACATAAGGACTAACCATTTCGTCTAGGTGACTGTGCTGAGCTTTTCGATTATTGCAGCCAAGAAATGATCGAAGCCAAGGTGAAGCTCTTGTTGCAAATGAGTTTGGTTCTCATCTGGGGTATGTCAGACTCTGACCCCTCAAAAAAGCAAAGAAACCAGCAACTAATCCACCAATAGGTGCCAATAAGCCCGTCATCCGTATTGCTCGGATTGCAGGCCAGTTCGCAAAGTAGGTTCCTCATTCATTAACTCACAACCTCAAATCTAACAACAAAACCAGGCCACGCTCAAGTCCAACAGAGGTCATCAATGGAGTGGAAATGCCCTCTTTCCGCGGTGACAACATCAATGGCTTCGCACCAGACCTTGCATCCCGCCAACCAGACCCATCCCGTCTAGTCTCAGCCTACTTCCACTCCGCAGCAACTCTGAATTACCTCCGTGCCTCCCTGTCATCAGGCCTGGCAGACCTGCACTCCCCACTAGACTGGGGTCTGGGCCATGTAATCACGCCCTCAATCAAAGAGCAATACGCCAGAACCGTAGGCGCGGTGAAGGATGCCCTGCGCTTTATGCACACAGTAGGAATCGACAAAGACCGCGGCTTCGAGACAGCCGACATCTTCACCAGCCACGAGGGTCTCTCCCTGGAATACGAGCAGAGCCTGACCAGACTCCTTCGCCACCCCGTGAAGGCAGGAAGCAGCACCACGTCTCCCGAAACAGGCTATTACGCAACATCCAGCCACTTCCTCTGGATCGGTGACCGCACACGCCAGCTCGGCGGTGCGCATATCGAGTTCTTCCGTGGTATTGCTAACCCTGTCGGAATTAAGATCGGGCCTAGCATGGCGTCGGATGAGTTGGTGCAGCTTTTGGATGTTGTTAACCCGGATCGTGAGGTCGGAAAGGTGACTCTGATCTCGCGGTACGGCGCTTCCAAAATAGCAAATTTCCTTCCCGGCCATATTGCCGCTGTGCAGGCTTCTGGTCATATCCCTGTCTGGCAATGTGACCCTATGCATGGCAATACCCAGAGCACACCATCTGGTGTGAAGACCCGCCATTTCACGGATATCTTGTCTGAGTTGAAGCAGGCGTTGGAAATTCATCGCGCTGCTGGGTCATTCCTTGGTGGTATGCATCTTGAACTTACTGGCGAGGCTGTCACTGAGTGTGTGGGTGGTGCTGCTGGACTGACGGAGGATGGGCTTGGGGAGCGGTATACGACATTCTGTGATCCGCGCTTGAATGAGAAGCAGGCTTTGGAGCTGGCTTTCTTGGTTGCTGGATTCTACCGTGAAGAGTCGCAGGAGTGATATCATTTGTTGAATTGAGCATAAGATATGTGAATGTTGAAGCGACAGCGAAAAGATTTCGGGTATTACTTATCATCGAGTTTCTGAATCAAAAGTCATGTGTGTTTTGAAAGTTGATCATGGATATGAGTCTACAATTAAATCATCTGGGATTGAATTTGATTTAACTGAGATTCGAGAAACAAAAAGTAACGGCTATTAACCTTGCGCAAAAACATCCAACCTATGCAGCTCGCCGTCGTGGGGCAAAAATCAAGAAACGCCCAAACAGAAAGATGTCCCCATATTTACAGTGACTGGGTATGAATCTACAAAACGCGAAAATTGCGAAAAAAAAAATCAAGGAACAAGAGGGCTAGCGACCGCAGGCTTGTAAACAAGACTCTTACGCCTAGCAGCCTCCATACGGAAGCGGCGCTGTCTCCTGGATTCCTCATCTTGTCCGTCATCCAGAACAATACTCGCAGGCTTAGCACTAGGGAAAAGGCCTCGGTTGCTCTGCTTTGGTGGGCAAGATTGCTGAACAAGCTTGGAGCGATTTCCAAGGAATCCGGGTGTAGCGGGTGACATGCCAATGGCATCAAGGTTGGCAAAGTTGTATCCCGGAGTAGCAGGGAATTGGTAGCTATCAGTAGAAGATTGTCGTGGGGGTGTGGACGGCATCTGCTGCTGGTGGGTCGGAGGTGTAATCTTGCGGAAACCCTCAACGGCACCCGGGTTGACACCACTGCGACGTCCGCCGGCAGATGGCGCGGGAGATTCGGAAATGCGAACAAGTGTGCCGTTCACATTGCTTAGTGCACGAGGCTCCATACTCTTGCGGCGCTTGGCACCGCCACGTGGGATGATAGAGCTGTCAACCGCGTACGGGGTTTCATCGAGCCATTGGTTTTCCCGTTCACAACTAGAGGTCACAGTCAGAAAATCCGTGTAAAGAAAGGTGTACAAATTATAGACTTACTCGAGGACCCAACCGACCCCAACACACTTGACAAGACCCGCTGCCTTCTTGACTTTCTCCAGAGTCCGCAGGCCACCATCCTTGTACACAACGTGGGTGATGCCAACTCTCATGTCCTTGGGCTCTACGCCATCAGATGGCGAGAGACTGGAATGAGGGTTCCAGGACCAGGATTTCACACATCGGGCGCCCATTTGCTGCAAAAGCTCCACAAAGATACCGGAGGCATCCTCACCCTCGGTAGTATGAACATCCACATGCACGACTGCCCCATGCAGAGCCTTCTGTTCAGTGCTGATGCTACGACGCGGCTTCTTGGCAGGGCTGGCGGTTGCGATAGGAGTACCGGGCGCAGTCATCACTGGTGCTTTTACGCTGCTGCGTCTACCTGTGATAGAACGGCGTTTTGGTGTCGGGCTTCTGCTCACCCGTGGAGTTTTCCGGGAGGGAGACAGAATGGGTACACTATCATTGAGTGCCATAAAGGTGGGCTTGCGAACACGAGGAGAAGACCGAGTGGGGGATGTGCTCGAGAGAGACAGACCTCTCTTGCGGGAAACCTTAAGAGGTGATACGTCGCCTTCAGCTTTCAAAGGCACTTTTGACACTGTATGAATGGTGCGTAATTCGTCAGGTTTGATCTGAGCCTTCATTGGGGTTGACGGAAGAATAGGAGGACCGCAGTTTTCTTTGTCATCGAGTAGATGGAACTCTTGGTCCTGATCTTGCGGGACTTCGGCAGCAGAAGTATGCTCCTGTTCAATGATTTCCGAGTCAGGATCCTCGAAGATATCCGTGCTTATTTTCGGCGAGTCAACCATTTGGTGGTCTTCATAGATGGAAGATCGCCGTGGAGTCTGTTCATACTCAAGGCTTATGCGAGTATCATTGCTTTCAGGCTGAAGTGGCAATTCGGCAAACAAAGAGGGGGTTTTCGCCAAAGGGCTCTTTGACAACTCAGGATATGACACACTTTCAGAATTCGGAGTTTCCGTGTTGTTGCGGTCCAAAGGGCCTACTAACGAGAAAACTCCACGGCGACGTGGTCGGAGTGATCTAGCTTGGGAAGGGGTATTTTGTTCCCAACGGCCAAACTTTTGTGCCAATGGCGTAAAACCTAAGCTAGCCTCAGCAGGGGATTGGTACTGATCAGCAACGCTTGGTGTATTGAAGAGACTTGCTGCCTTGAACGCAGGACTGTCAACCTGGGTGTTTGGCGTCCAACTATTTTCTTCATGCAGGGGCGCGTCAATGATGACATTATTGGCATTCTTGGCATCGAGGGTGGAGTCATGATCATTCTCTGAGTTGGCTGGGCAATTCAAAGCCAAGGGAGTAGATTCACCGCCCGTGGGACTCGATTGTGGTAAAGCAATCAATTGCGCCTTTTGGAACGGGGTTTCAATGTCCTCGGCATGGTTGTTCTCGTGTGGCGAAGCAGGGTTTGACGATATCGTAGCAAACTCAGGCCCGGCCATGATAGACTCGGTGTCGTCCACATCGCTCTCGTCGCGCATCACTTGTTCCTCTTCCTCGGGTTGATGAATGGCCTCTTGCCATTCACGTTCATCTTCCGAGGCATATTCCAAGTCAACCATTGGCTGGGCTTCGTCGCCATAAGTCAATTTGAATGGTGACCTGGAGGGCGATGCAAGTTCATTCGGTTGCTCTTCCATGTCTAGTTCTTGCATCTCCATAGTTTGAGAGGGTACTGGGGTCGGATCTTGGGACTCTTCCTCCTCGATCTCGCGCTCCAGTGCCGCCAGCTCGTCTTCGGGATAATCCGTATCCTCCATGGCTGAGTCTGGTGCCTGAACTTCTTCATCATATAGGTCATTCTCCGCGAGGTGTGCGTCTTCCATGGCGTCAAAGCAAATTGTTTCAAGCTCCTCATACTCAAATTCATTCTCGTCATGGACATCTTCACCCTCTTCTAGGTCTGAGACTTCCTGAACTTGTTGTTGATGAATATCATGCGCTGCGAATTGGGCTTCTTCCAGGGTGTCAAAGCAAACTGTATCAAGCTCCTCGTACTCAAATTCGCTCTCATCTTGGAGATCATCGCCTTCTTCTAGGTCTGAGGCTTCCTGGGCTTGTTGGTCATGAAGATCATGACCTGAGAATTGGGCATCTTCCATGGCGTCAAAGCAAATCGTATCAGCCTCTTCGCGGTCAAACTGAGCCTGGTCTTCAAGATGTTCACTGGCTCCAGGGCCTAAATCTTCCTCAGGCTCTTGATCGTAAAGGTCCTCCGTTGCCATATTGGCCTCTTCCATGACGTCGAAGCAAATTGTTTCAGGCTCTTCGTACTCGGGCCGGGCCTTGTCTTGAAGATATTCACTTTCATCTTCATCCAGGTCTGACTCTGACTCTGACTCGGCCTCGGCTTCCACCTCCGCAGACAGAGAATCAGTGTTTCCATCATTGAATGCGTCTGAGGCTACTTCGGAGGAAGCAATATCCTTCTGGATAGGAGAAATCGATGATGACTTCCCTTCAGAAGATAGCTCAATGCCAAAGATGTCTCGAGCCACATCCTCAACCATTTCAGTGTCCTTGTCAAAGGTCGTGTCGTCGGGCAGGCTTTCCCGTAGCGAGGAATTAGGGGTGGTGGATTGTGCGAGGTCAACTGTCTTAGAAGGGGTCCCATCGTTGTCCACGAGTTCGGAGGGGCCCACAGATGCATGAGCAGAGAATATAGAGTTCTTGAATGGAGAGGCTATTCTCTTTGCGGGGCTTTGAAACAAGGGTGTACGAGCAGGGGCTGCTGATGTAGAAGCCTTGAAAGGCGATTGCGAGAAAGAGGCACCCAAGTAGCCCTTCTTAGGTGACATCTTCAATGGAGAGGTGAGTCCCGGTGTGAAATCAGGTGCGGAAATCGGATTCACACTGCCCCCGAAGAGGGAGCCCCCACGATTCGGGGTATCTCTCAAGGAGAACTGGAAAGGAGATGATGGCGCTGGTCGTCTCGCAGGGCTAGACATGATCATAGAATCACTGAAAATAACTGAATTGCCAGGTGGAAGGGCGAGGTGACCATTATCTGCGACTGCGTTCTGGCTGCGGTTCGGCGCAAAGTTGATTTTCCTGACCGGGGAGCTAAGTCCGATGCCGTCTGATCCGTGTTTGGGGGTTGGTAGTTTCGGTTCGCCATTCTCGTCCATGAAGCTGGACGCCTTCTTGGGGGTAAAGTTGATCCTCCGTACAGGAGAGCTAAGTCCAGTGTTCTCCAAGCCAAGCTTGACAGGCGAGTGAACAACAAGTCTAACCGGATCCTTGGTGTCGTCCTTCATTATGTTCAATTCATCATCTTCTCCGTCGGAGCTTGCGTATGCTGATAGAGACTTGGCCACCTGCTTGGCCTTCTTGGGAGACAATGGTTGGGTCGCATCCTTCTTCGCTGCAGCTGGCTTCCTTCCACGAGGACCGGTTGTCGCGGGCTTGCGAGCTGGGGCCGCTCCAAGACCGGTCTTGCCAACGACGGCGCTCGCGCCCTTGGTCGCTACTCGTCGACGGCCAGCAGCAGGAATCTCAGGCTCCTCGGCTTCGGAGTCCGAGACATCCTGGAACTTCACTGTCTTCTTTTTAGCGGGCCCACGCAAAAGATTCGAGCGCATAATTGTCGAATTGGTCGCAATCTTAATTTGGTTCAATTTCGTCTCATTCGCTGTATCAACAGCCGCTCGTGTGCGCCTACTCGTGGCCACCGTCTCACGGGTCGCAGGGGCCTTCGCTGTTGCTGACACTCTTGGTCGTCCCCTGGTTTTAGGTGCTACCTCGGGCTTCGTCGCAGCAGCCTCTGTGGGCAAGGGGCTTTTCCTCGGTCTTCCAACACGCTTCTTTGTGGCCTCAGTTTGTTCCCCTAGAGCTTTCGACTTCTCGGCGAGAGATTCCGAAGCCTTTCTTCCTCGCGCAGTCACAGTCGCAGTGACTTTTGGTTTGGTAGCTGGACGAGCAGGAGGACGTGCAGTGGGTTTCGTGGGATTGCTTGTGATGAATCCAAGCTCATCATCGGATTCAGCATCGAGAGCTGAGGGCACAGTTCGGGGTGCTGGTGTTGCCCTTCGGGGGGCTTTCTTCTTTGCATCGGCAGCAGCTGTCGACTTGGTTGAAGTTCGTGCTACCCGTTTCGCAGGGGATTGGGGGATTACTGCAGCGCGCGCCATGTTGATATCGTGTTGTCGTTGATGGTCGCAGTTAGTATTGGCACGCGACGCTCATGGCGGGTTTGGGCGGTCAAATGTGATATCGAGTGTGATATCGGCCCGATGTCGCAAGGTCGCAGGTTATCGGGAGTTGTCGAATTAGGTGCATAAAAGAGGAAGCAAGGCAAAGCAAATAACCCACTGTGGAGGTGGCGGCCGATCCGAAGGTGCTTGTTGTGGCGTTTCCCATAGCAACACGATCACATGATACGATCTGCCCATTTTAAAAACACGTCAACAAGGATGTTACATCGGATTAACAAGGACTAATGAAAACATTATTATAACCACGTGCAAGATAAAAGTCTGTTCCTGATGATTTTAAACCCCGAGGAAGTTCAACTTGCACCATAACTCACATGTCCATGGTATATATTTCGACGAAATAGTGCAATGTAGTTTTAGATGATTTCTGATATCCTTCATATATTCTTTTTCTAGCGCTATCCTCTCTAAATACTTTACATCTCATAGTCTACCACTTTACAAAATCACATGGAAAACATCTTGTACCTTCATAGTACCAAACCTCGAGAGCTGCAACCATGTTCCAATGCGTTGGTAGAAAGATGCCAAATTAATAGATGACCTAGACTGGCTACTAATACTTTGCCCTTCCTATCATATAATTTAACATATATTTAAGTGGAATATAGGTAGGGCATGTTTATTCGAGGGATGTGTATGTCCAACGGTTTATTTGCGATCGAATTGAGAGAAGGGATGAATAATGCGGTACCGAAGTACAAATATGTTTCTGAATGGGCATATATGCATGACTATCGAATTGGATCCCATAGGAACCGAAAACTAGGTAAATACCGAGAAAATGATAATGACACGAGGATGGCTCGATGGCACATCGACCTTGCTTGAAAAGAAGTCCACCAAATGATGAAAATCCGCGTTTTGAATGCAAGTAGCTGCAACATGGCAGCGAGAAGAAAAAGAATTCACCATGTCTGGTTATACCAGGATGAGCATTGCTAGACTGGCTGTGACAACCGTGGATAGCATGGTGGGCAAACTCACCGACGCCATATTCTTACTCTCAGATAGGTAATAAGCTGGATTATAAGAGTTCGGTGTGGTGGAGTTCACAGTGCCGTTCCAGCAGTACCGATCGAAACACTGGGTGCAGATATCAGGCAGAGTGGTACCCGTGCGCTCGAACGAGCGGCTGAGGATAGCACAGCCAACACAGGCTGTCCAGTTGCCGTCGAGGGTGCTGTTGCCCATGGTGGCAACCTCGTAGCCATTGAGAATGATATTGTCACGCTCAGTGTCGTCAGTGCTGAGTTGGAAGGTTGAGATGTTGGAGTGGTAAGAGTAAGGGGCATTGGGGATATACACGACGAGAGGCGTGGGTCCGGTCTGGTTCTTACTGTCACAGCCAAAGAAAGATGGGCGGGTGCTGAGACCAAGGTTGACGAAGGTGTTCTGGTCTGGAACTGCAGGGAACGCGGTGCCGTTGCCGATACCGCTGCTGTTCAGGCTGCGCTCGTAGGTTGCAACCAGGGACGTGCCGTTTGGCCAGTAGTAGTCAGTGTCGGCCGAGGAGTCGACAGCGAAGATGACATCGACATGGCGCTCGGGCTGGATCAGAGGATGCAAAGGGACGTTCTGTCCATCCTCGCCGCCATCAACGACGTCCAGCACTTGTTGCGCGGCGTACGGCGACGAGTCCTCGTTGTATTTGTAAAAGGGGTTGGGATCGTAGGAAGCGATGTCGTCTTGCGCTTTGTCGAACTTCTTCAAGAGGTCGGTGAATACATTCTTTACAACGCTGGGGAGCGAAGTGGTGTTGATCTGGAGAAGGAACTGGTTGAAGAGTGTGGATGAGGTTCCGATTATAAAGCCGGCACTGTCGAAGCCGCCGATGCAGCTCTCGTTGCTAGGAAGTGAGCCACTCTCGAACTTAGAGCCCAGGTATTTGAGCGGAATGAAACCGAAGATAGTAGGGTCAAAAGTGCCGAACTCCCACGGGTTGAACTCATATACAGTCGAGTTGCTGCCAACGACCAGCTCACCGGGGTTACGGCCATCTGCGACAACAAGCGGCATGGGGTAGTTTCCATCCTGGAAATCGGGGGTCTCGGCAATGGAAGACCAGGTATAGCTAATTCCACCATTGGTTGCATTGAACATTTGATGGGCGAGTGCGCGGCCCCTGTACTCAAGTTAGCAAACATAGATGCATTCCCTACAGACAAGGAAAACATACCACATATCAGTGAGAGAAGTATCAAAGCCAGCGTCCTTCTTCCCCTCGACAGCCTCGGCAAGGTCCTTGTAGTAACTAGCAGTATCCAAAAGCTGGATACCACCAGTATCAGGCCCCTCGATGATCGAGTTTCCAAACTGCCAGACGGAACCTTCCGTGTGCGTCTGCAGCTTGTCAATAGTAGTAAAGTTATTGATAAAGATTGAACCCAGCAACCAGCTGCCTCCACTCAGACCAGCAATATAGGTAGCAGACTGCAGCAGACCACCCAAATGGCCGCTCGTCGATGCATTGTACGTCCGGCTATCGAAAGCCTTGACCGCACCGGCACCATTCATCAAAGCACGCCATCCACCACCTGAAACGGCAATGCCGATATTGGGCAGATTTGACGAGTTCCTAGAGTGTTTATCGAGGTAGCCAACGACATCATAATCGCCGACTTGCACATGCCCGAAGAAATCCTTCATCGCCGACAGGCTCTTGCTGCGGCGGACTTCTAGCCATGACGTCTCATTCGAGGACAGCTTCGCCGCGCTGCGAACTGTCGGTCGGCTTGCTGGGCAGCTGACGGATGTCGGCACGTACCCGTCGGGCGCGTTGGGGAGTGCTCGTTGCACACCTGCGAATGTGATATCATCGGGATTGGGCCCGGGCATAGCAATTGCGCCTGCGAGAACATGGTGATTAGTGTGATGAAATATTATTTTGATGACGCGTGTCAGGGTCTAATTAAGCCAAGAATGGCAATCCTGTGGGGGGAAAAGAAAAGAAGGAAGGAAACGAGAAGGGCACTTACCGGGCAAGCTTAAAGCGATCGAGATCAGCGCAAAAGTCTTCATGACGGGTAGATCACGATCGTGACTTTTAACTTAAAGAAAGAAAGGAATGAAGTCCCGTGTCCTAGGGGGTAATACTTATGCACCGAGGGGGATCACTTATGAGCCGGGGCCGCCGGAAGCTTAGCCAAGCCCCCCCCCAGTGTCCCAAAGTAGTTCTTTTGGTATGTTCATAGGGTTCGCGAATCATGGCTGTCAATGTGGAGTGGGGTGACGTTAAAAATGCCGGAAGCTCCGTGTTACTTTACAATACATTAATTATACAGCATACAGTAAAAATATCAATCTTCATTTGAGGCGCAACCCAGGCTACAATAAGTAATAGATGCGAGCAGCAAGGTTGCCCAAATAGGGGCTGGCTGAGCTGGACAGTGCTGGACAGGGCTGAGTTCAAAACTGTCATGTGATACGAATACGATCACTGTGGGCAATAGGCATCCGCATTTCAACAGTTGTTATTGGAGTACGTAGTACCCGCAGGGTTCATGAAGGCCTAAAAGTGGACTCATTTTTCAAATCACTCAATTAAAGGACCTGGGTAAAACCGTGATGACTTAGGGTAGGTGGATCCGGCATAAAAATAAAATGAATCAAGCGAGATTGTGATTGGATAAAATCAAAATTATGCCCCATGTTGTACTCCGTACTCCGTAAAATCTTTCGTATCCGTGTTAACTTTCACAATGTTGAGGTGCAAGCCACTGTGGGGTGTAAGGCTACGTGGATATTGGCCGCAAATCGAGATCGGCGCTAGTATTAGGGCGTAAAGGAGTTGAACTATAATCTACTATCAGATGACAGAGAGAAACAGTTATCAGTTGAATCAATTGAAATTTGATAAAAGTGTGGGACTTAACCTTGGAAAAGCATCATCCCAATAGAACAAAGCTAAATCGGGGTAAAGAGAAACAGTTATCAGTTGAACCAGTTGAACTTGGATAAAAGCGTGGGACTTAACCTTGAGAAGACAACATCCCAGTAGAAGCAAGCTAAAGCAAGGTAAGCTTACTTTCTCACTCTCAATTTCAGCCACGACTAGCGCCAATCTCGGCATGTTCAACCACTGCCTGGTCCTCCACGTTCTCGTTAGCCTGCACATGACCCTCGGGCAAGTTGTTCAACTCATCCTCCTCCTTGTCTAGATCCCAGAACTGGATAATGAAGATGGTTCCACCGACAAAGGTCAAGATAGCAAAGACCGCATAATTCCAGATCAACAGAGGGTCCCTGGAAAGCGTGATCAAAGCCTCGGCGAGGGCGGCGGAGATGGCGTTGGTGAACATATTGATAGCCTGGATGAGGGAACGCATATTGCGAGGCGCCTTCGAGTAGGCATACTCCATCGAGGTGATGATGGCAAAGATCTCCGATATCGCAACCAGGATGTATGAACCAGTCTGAGCCCAGACAATGATAGGAGACGGGTTAACGCTGCCATCGTCGGTATAGCAATTGTTAGCTCGGTAGCCGCAGGGCGAAGTTTTGTAGATGTAGTACTGGATGACAGCAGCCCAGATCATGGAGAGAGACGCCAGTAAGAAACCAAGGGTGATCTTTCTGATGGCCGTGAATTGGATACCCATTTTGCGCAACCCGGGGTAAAGGAATGTGTCACAGAGCGGGACGAAGATGAGTAGCGCCAAGGGGTCAAGATTGTTCACAACGTCGTTTGGAACGCCCTTCAAGGTCATCGTGCCGGCCTGTGCGGTGAGGTTGTTTGTCAATTGGTTGTAGGCTAACCAGTAGACCGGGAAATAGCAAAAGACAGCACAAGCGGCAAATCCACGGCGAACTTCATCCACCCATGCATCGTCAAAGGTCATCCACTTGGGCCGGAATCGGGGCTCTATGTTAGAAGGCTTCGCGGTGTCCCAGAGAGTGCCATCGTGCGTTCGCTTCCAGAAGATGTATGGGTTGTAGTGCCAGCGGCCTCGCATACAGAAGAAGAATGTCTTGATGGCCTTGTAAGTCACCGAGCCTGCGGGGGGAGACTGGCGATAGCGCTTACGACCCCACAACATAATGAATGGAGTAGTCAGGAACATGATGGTGGGCAGCAGGAAGGCCAACCAGAAACCGATATACTTCTCCGCATATGCCATGCCGATCTGACCCATCAATGCGCCGATGTTGATGAACATGTAGAAGTAGTGGTAGATACGGCTCTGGGTGATAGTCGGGTCGATGACGACACGCTCACCAGTTTCAAGGGTACGCACCTTGAGATTGACAGTAGGTATCTGCTCGACAACCAGGGCGGATATGTTGGGCTTGAAGCCACCAGTACCCAAGCCCATGATTATCACACCCAGAACGAACACAGCAAAGGAAGCATCTGTGTTTGTGATCACCGGGGGAATGGCAGAGACAACTAGAATGATATGACCTAGAATGGCGGCCCCAATAGACCAGGAGATGGTCTTGTATCGTCCCCAGTACTCATCGGCGATGTAGGCACTCACCAGAGGAAGGCAGTAGCACCAGAAGGTGTTGAAGGTGTTGATGGCACTGGCAGTTTCAACACCCTTGCCCAAAGCACCAGATACACCCTGGGAGCTAGGGCCACCGGCTCCAGTAGCGTGGTTTGATCCGGGAGGGCCATTCGGGGCAGGAAGGGGAAGTGCGTGGTTCACAAAGTTGGAGTCTGTGTTGCAATGTTAGAATCAACTTTTTTTATCTGGCTCTGTATGGGGTAGTGGGTGTCTTACAGAGGACCTGTGTTCCGTAGTAGGAGAAACGCTCGCACAGTTCAACGAATGCAACGGTGTAGACGACCCAGGGAATCGGAGCTGAGATGCGACGCAAGGCGTTGGGACCATGAAGTTCATCAGTGGTTGGGTTCTCATCACGCGCGCCAAGGTCGTACGACTCAGGGATGATACTTTGCTGAGCCTTCACATTGGTAACTAGGTTACTTGGCATAGTGGGCTCGACATCATGGATAGCGAGCGAGTCCGAGCCTAGGCCTGTGCCTTGAGCCGCCATCTTGAATAGAATAGAGACCAGTGCAGGACAGGGAGGAAAGACAATGGGAGGGACGCGCGTGGAGGAGAGAAAAAAAAGCAGAACGAAAAGAGAGAAGAAGTAAACAAGCGAGATACACCTCACGTGTAGGGACTGAACTCGGGGTGCTCATGAACATGGGACAAATAGCTTGCAGATTCCCTCGCTTAGGTTGCTCATAACAAAGACATGGCTTTAACAGTCATACCTTCTTCTTACCCTCTTATGATTATAACAAGCCCAGGCTGGCCTTGGATGGGGCGATACGGCTCAACATCAGGTGAACTAATCTTGGAATGAACCAAAGCAGCAATTAAAGACAGCAAGAGACGTTGAATGTGATGTACTATGTAACCTGTCATGCTATATAACCAGGTAATGTCATCGATGGTTCCTTGTTTTGACCACAGAGAAGGAAGAAGAAAACTAACATCAATGGCACGAGCATTGCATCCTATAAAGGACTCTCCTAGGGTAAGTTGACCCCAATACAGTCGGATATGAGATATCTCATGTGACTTACTTTTGAGCAATTTAAAAGAAACAAGTGAGCTTCAAGTGAGGCCTAGCAGGATTCAAGTGGAAGGAAACTTGAGCTAAGGAGAAAGTCCAACTGAAAATGCATATCGCTCGGCAGGCGGCTTAGTACAATCTCACATTGAGGATGGGGGGGGACTGATCGACCAGAAACGGCACGAGAGCTCGAGCAGGAGTCAGAAAACCCTGACCCAACCCCAGTCAAAGCGGCATCGACTAAGAGACTGGATAAGAAGGTCTCCACAACACCCGAACCAGCCAACGACAATGATCAGGGCGAGAAGGAAAAGGGGCGGGAGTTGAGTCGAGATCGAGTTTAGCTTCTTGATACTCGCAGACATTCGCAGGAATCACGGAAGCTCGTCATGGACCACGAAACGCTGATTTGTGCCTTATGGAAAGAAAACAAGGAGCTACGCGGTCGAGCCAAGAGAAGAGAAGCCCTGCTTAGGGAACGAGAAGCTACGAAAGTTTTGATTCGAGCATGGAACCCTCTCTCAGCACGAGTGGGGATTCCGAGTTAAATTGATCTGACTGGCAACGACGAGGTCTCTACTGAGGAGGATGACTGAGTGAGGCTGGATGGAAGTAGACTAAATGAAATCCCAATCGAGATTAAACATCTCATGCTAAAGAGATTATATTCTCTGAGATTTACTAGCGACCTTCGAAGTTCTGTAATACTAAAAAGTACAGTTGGCTCCATCAGATCATTTTTTCTGTAGCACAAAGTACTGTAGGTGGCAACAGGACTACACATGTCGTACCAATCAACAAATGAGATATCTTGTATTTCAGCAAAGAAAATCCGAAGAACAACGCTAGCATGCTAAGCCAAGATGGTAAATACTGTAGGTCACAAAGTGTGCTCATCTTCTCGGTCCCGTCTTGGCCTATGGTGTATAGTCTTGATACGTACTCAACGGCGTAATTTTACATACTATTCAATATAAACCTATTCACTCCGTTCTTCGAGTACTTATTCAAGCAATCGTATCTGGGACTACTTACCTATATCGGCTTAGCTGTCGTCATTAGACAAAACCAGAGACATCAAGTCACCCATCCGTATTCTATTTACGCTACCAGAAGACCAACACGTGCTAGTTCAGGTGACTGCCGCAAGTACACAAGGATAAGTCCAAGATGGTTGAGTGCCCGACAGGTAATTAAGGAATCCCACCAGTAAGCGAACATACCCATTGACCTTGAACGGTCATGGTCGGCTCCGACCAACTCTGATTGGTCCCGGTTCTCCGCATCTTCCCCAGATTCGGTGTCAGTCCCGGGTTGATTACCATGGTTCTTGGCGGCTGAAAAGACCTCAGAATGACATCTGGATTATTTTGGATCACGCAGATGACGATTACAACGGCCACGAACCTATCACGCGATACTTTGTGATCTGCGGGCTACTACATTCAGTAACGACATCCCTTTTCAAGATGTTCTTTGGAGTGAACATTAAGTTTGTTGATCAACCTTGTTGGGAGGTCAGGTGCCCTGGTGGTTTGGCTATGTGGTATATTCCGACTGGATGGATGTACGCGGTTATTTTGTCGGTGAGGGGGAAATGTTGAGATTCGGGTTCTTGGTGCCGTTTGAGAGACAACTCTCAAGCCTAAAATATATACCAGGCTACGCATGACTGAATATATTTCCTTGTACAACAATGAGATGCCAATGTCGATCTATCTCAAAGTTGGTCAAGATTTAAATGCAACTAAACTCTAGAATGGAGATGAAACAGTTGAAACAACGACAACAATTATTATTCGACCGATCTGTAGTCTAACGTCATCCTAGCATCTAAAGTCTGCAAAGCTAATTATGGTTATCCACGAGAAGACAACAATCAAAATCAAATTCCTAAAACCAAAGGCCATGCTGCGCTACTCTCGCCCAATAACCCAAAAGAAAAAGACGCAGAACGCCATGCAATGAGAGACCAAAAGGTCGTCACGCGCAGTGATTGAAAAGGCAAAATCGAATCAAAGCCATAATCAATCTACCACGCGGCGTGGCCACCATCCATACGCAGGTCGCTTCCAGTCATGAAGCTACTAGCATCGCTGAGCAAGAAGACAGCAGCGCCGCGGTACTCTTCCGGTTGGGAGAGACGGCCAAGCATGTTCTCTTTGGGCCACTGGTCACGACGTTCAGGGAACTCGAGGAACAGCTTCTCAACCATAGCGGTGACAATGTAGCCAGGGGAGATAGTGTTGACGCGGATGTTATAGGTGCCCCATTCAGCGGCGAGGTTGCGGGCGAGCTGGAGGACAGCAGCCTTGCTAGCGTTATATGCGGGGCAAATAAGACCCTATAGGGAAATATGTTAGATCGATGTAGGCCAACCAGAAGAACAGAATGTGACACAAAGCGGGGAAATATTCCATAAAAAAAAATAAAGAAAGTCTGGGCAGGGAGACACTAGGCCTATACCGACAACTTGATGCCAAATGGGGTGGAAATTGTAAAGGGTAAGACGAAAAGAGGGGAGTGGGAACGTACGCGATTGGCAATGGTACCGCTCATAGAGGCGATCATAGCGATGCTACCTCCATTTCCGAAGCGAATCATTTGCTTAGCCACAGCCTGGGAGGTCATGAACACTCCCGTGACGTTGACCTCGAACATGGTGTTGCTGTCCTTGGCTGAGTATTCGAGCGCTGGGGTCTCCTGCTGAATACCCGCTGCGGCAATGAGGCCATCCATACGGCCCTCTTCATTGGCGATGGTTTCGATGACACTGTTGAGAAGTTCTGTGTCACGCACGTCAATACGACGGTAGTGCAACACGGTGCCAAGATCTTTTGCACGCTGTTGGATATGCTCGAACTCGGGGGCCTGGTAATTGGGTGATTGTTATTTTCGTGCTGACATAGAGGCGGATGGGGGCCTGGAAATTATATGAACCAGGTCTGAGGGATGTAGAAACTTACCGGCTCTTCCAGACGGTCGAGTGCGTATACCTTTGCTCCGGCTTCTAGGAGTGCCTCTGCCTGGACTAATCCTAGACCCCGGGCAGCACCTGAGACCAGCACCACCTTTCCGGCGAGACTGAACTCAGGCATTCTGGACTTCTGACCGATCAAGACGGGCTGGGCGGTCATTGGAGCAGTGGGGACTGTAGTGGTTTCGATGGAGACCGACATTGCGATGTGATATACTAGGTATAGTCGAGGGTAGTGACGATAGTGAGGATATTAAAAGAGGCTTCAACGATTATTGGACTGATTATTTTGCATACAGATAAAGAATAATGTGAATGTTCCAGCTGAGGAACCATGGACCGGAGCAACCATTCTCTTTAAATACATATGTTTTTGACCGGAAAAGTCAGGCCGAACCAAGACCAAAGCGCCCAGGAGGTGTCTCGTGAGCAGGAAGAAACTAGAGGACTGCCTGAAAAGGAAATCCAGGCTTGGACCAAGGGTACTGCAGAACGGGTTGCGTCCAGACCTCCTGGAATGCAGGCTAAACGGCTATGGCGAGGCTTACGCAACCCTACAAAAAGGATGAACACATATAATCATCATCTATATAGTATAATACTTGGATACTATGTCAATTGATCTGCTAAGTAAAGAAACTTGATATTCTTGTGTTTACTGGTTAGAATTCTTGTTCAGATTTGCCTCATGCCTATTTTCCATCAATAATATCGATGGGCTAAAACGCTAAATTCAGTGATAGCTCATCTAAGAGATGTGCCAGTCACCAGACATGATAAAATCCACGATAGTTTCATCGACGCCGTTCCGAAGCTAAGGGATGACCGGATTTCTCGTTTGGGAAAGCCGTCTGGGGAGGAACCCGGGGAACTCCAACGCCACTCTAATTTTTGACTCTCAACATTATTTTTTTCTTTTTCTTTATTGTTTTTATTGTTTTTATTGTTTTCAAAAGAATCCATCCAGATGACCTCCCATCCCTTTGAGAGAATTACACGTATATCGTACACAAACTGTCGAGCCTCCAGCTGGGTCTTCTAGAAATCCTCCAAGCCTCATAGTTCTTCTATCCGGGGTCAGGTGGCTCTTTGCAGATCAATGACTAAACCCTACCAATCAAATTAGTACATATGGCCTGTGATATTCGTTCCTGTCCGATCGCCCCGGCTCCAAGGTGACGGACCAGGCTAAGAGGAGTTCATTGGTCAATTCCTGTACCAACGTCCGAAGATTTTTGTTAAAAATTTAAAAAATCTAGAACCTTAGATTTAAAGTCTCAGATCTCATATTAAGATATAACGATAGGTGATACACTGTTGTGTTGTCCCAAGGTTCAAGCCCAATAGCTAAATCTGGGTACTCCGGATTCTCGGTTCTCCATGCGGGGGAAGTACAAGAACTAAAATTAGGACTTAAACATTGAAATCCGAAGAGTCCAGACTTCATGTCGCTGCTTAGATAGGACTAAGGCCATATAGCTTATCTGACTAT